GGAAAGGGCTCTGCTTGATGGTCAGCTACACAGAATCATAGATTCATAGAACAGTAACAGTTGGAAAGGACCTTAACAGAATTTAGTTCCAAGCCCTCCGCTATGGGCAGGAACGCCACACCCCAGACCATGTCGCCCAGTGCTCTCTCCAACCTGGCCTTGAACACTGCCAGGGATGGAGCATTTACCATTTCTTTGAGCAACCTGTTCCAGTTCATCACCACCCCCAAAGCAAAGAACATCTTCCTTATATCTAACCCGAACTTCCCCTGTTTCAGTCTGAGTGCATTACCCCTTGTCCTATTTCTACAGTCCTTGATGAGGCGTCCCTCTCCAGCACCCCTGTATGCCCCCCTCAGATACTGGAAGAGTGCTGTGAGGTCACCACGCAGCTTGCTCTTCTCCAGGCTGAACAGCCTGAACTGTCTCAGCCTGTCTTCATGTGGGAGGTGCTCCGTCTTTTCCTTACTTCATCTAGTTGCTTTGAGAAGTGAGCTACAGCCCTTTTATAGGGTCCTATATTTTGAGCTAGGACCCCTAGGGCTATGCCTTGTCTCTCATGTGAAAACAGCCAAAAGGGTTTGGTGACGTCAGGCAGTCCAGGGGCTGAGGCCCTCATTAATTCCTTCTTTAATTCATTAAATGTCCGCTTTGCTTCCCCAGTCCACTGCAATTCCCTCGTTTCTGTTTGCAGCAACTGCTATAGGGGTTTGACTAACATACGGTAATTATAAATCCAGAGTCGACACCAACCTGTCATCCCGAGAAATGTCCCAAGTTCCTTGGGTGTCCTGGGGTTGAGGGGTTTGGCAGATTGTTTCTTTGCATTCTTGTCCGAATTTCCACTGCTCCCCTGAGACCTCATATCCCAGGTAGGTGACTTCTTGCTTCACTGTTTGTGCCTTTTGCTGAGATACCTTATATCCTTCAAGTCCATGAAAATTTAACAGGCTTACCGTGCATTCCCCACAGTTGTTCAAGGTTTCGGTGGCTATCAACAGGTCATCCACGTACTGCAGCAAAACTCCTTCCCCAGGGACTGCCGCCCAGTCTTCAAGGTCTTTTGCCAGTTGGTTTCCAAATAATGCTGGGCTACTTTATGAAGCCTTGGGGTAACGTGGTCAAGGTGAGTTGGGATTTCTGACCTGACTCTGGATTTTTCCATTCAAAAGCAAACAAGTTTTGGGTCTCTGGCTCCAAGGGCCGGCAGAAGAAGGCATCTTATAAGTCTAAAACATTAAACCACACAAGATTCTCTCTTAGTTTTGTTAACCAGGTATAAGGGTTGGCTGCTACAGGATAAAGTTCTAAATTTATAAAGCTCTATTTTATTGATAGCTCTTACATCTTGTATTAATCGATAACTTTTCTCATCCTCCTTCCAGACTGGCAAAATGGGGGTGTTATATTTTCTTACCGGTTGTGCCCTGGGCTTCAGTCTTCCTTGGAGTGGTTTGGCATGCTTTGCCTTACCCGGTATTCCGCTGGCCCATACTCCTGAATAGACTTGATCTGAGCTGTCCAAGGGGACCTGCTTTGTTATGTGTGGCTGGATGAGAGCTAAACTTAGTATTTTGATTAATTTGTTGTCTCTAATTTGTATTTCACCATTTTTAAACTTGATCTCTGCTTCCAATTTTTCTAATAGATCCCTTCCTAATAATGATTTTGGGGTATTTGGCACATATAAAAAATTATGCATTCCTATCATTTTACCCATTTTGTATTGGAGAGGTTGCATGTATGGTACCTTCTGTTGCTGGCCTGTCGCCCCAATCACATTTAAAGATTCATTATCAATCAAAGCTAATTGTTGATTTAACACAGCAAACAGCCCTGGAGTCTACTGGAAATTCTACTTTTGTGTCTTTGTCGTGGTTTAAACCCAGTCAGGTAACTTGTTCACTCACTCCCAGTGAGTGGTGCTGAGCTGACAACAATCGAGGTCCGTGTCCGTCTCCCCCCCCCCCCCGCACCGGGGCTCTCCCCTTCCCCGCTCCCGGAGGAACGGGGAGGAGGATCGAGAGAGTGCAACTCCTACGGGTTGAGACAAGAACAGTCCAGCAACAAATCACCACCGCTACTATCAGCTAAAACAATGATAAGGGAAAATAACAAGGGAAGAGAATACGATACCACCGGCCAAGAAAACGAGTTCCACCCGGAAGCCCCTGTCCTTCCGGGTAACTCCCAGTTACCCCCCACCCCGGGCATGACGTGCTGTGGTATGGAATACCTCCCCGGCTAGCCCGGGTCAGGCGCCCCGTCTCTGCTTCCTCACAGCCTCCCCTCCTCCCTGGCAGAGCATGAGCCTCACAGAGTCCTTGGTCAGGGTAAACATCACTTAGCAACAACCGAAAACATCGGCTTCACCAACACTGTTCTCAAACTAGAAGTCAAAACACAGCACTGCACCAGTTAACACAAAGGAAAAAACATGACTGCTACTGCTGAACCCAGGACATTATCCACCCCTTATTCCATACCATTCACGTCGTGCTCAGATCCCACATTTTCAAGACACCATCGCTCTCCCATATATCTACATCCATATACATACAGACCAAGAGGAAAAAAATCGTTTTCTTAGTGCATGGACCAATCCCTATAATGCTGCCGAGTCCATTCGGTCCATGATGTTCAAAGTTCATTCTCTGTTGGGATGATGGCTGGAGGGAAGTCAGGGCCAGTCGCTGGTGACCTGGAGACATCTAGTTGATGGGCTATAAAAGCATTACACAGCAGGCAACAGCATACAATTGAGTTCACTGGCTGTTTTCCCCTAAAATCAAATCCCCTTGAGGTATACATCGGACTTCCCCATCTTCCCACATTACCCACCAAGTATATCCAGGTCCCTGAGCAAAAGCAATCCCACGAGTGGGTTTGCCTTTACCTGAAGCAGGAATAACCCAGACTGTCTTCCCCAGCAAATTCTTCATATGCACCACGGGAACTTTGTCCCCCTCTACAATATGTAAAAGTTCTGACTGGGCTGGGCCAGCCCTGTTGGCAGATCCTCTGGTGTTGACCAACCAGGTGGTTGCTTCCACCATGGTAAGCACATGGCGCTTGCCTTGGCGGGTTGGTGGCAGTGTGATATAGTCAATCTGCCAGGCCTCCCCATATTTATACTTCAACCATTGTCCTCCATACCAAAGAGGCTTCAACCGTTTGGCTTGTTTAATTGCAGCACACGTTTCACACTCATGAATAACCTGGGTAATAGTGTCCATTGTTAAGTCTACCCCTCGATCATGGGCCCATCTATATGTTGCATCTCTGCCCTGATGGCCTGAAGTGAATTCACCTGTATGCTGCCAATCTAAGTCCATCTGAGCCACTTCAATCTTAGCCGCTTTATCCACTTGTTGGTTGTGCTGGTGTCCCTTGGTGGCCAGACTCTTAGGTACATGAGCATCTACATGACGTACCTTCACCACCAGGGTCTGCACCCTGGCAGCAGTATCTTGCCACAGTGCAGCAGCCCAGATGGGTTTACCTCTGCGTTGCCAGTTGCTCTGCTTCCATTGCTGCAAGTACCCCCACGGGGAAATTGCTACCATCCATGAATCAATAGAGAGACAGTAATGGCAGGAAGATGCAGAAATGAGGCCTACAGTACTCTTACCAGTTTTCCATCTGTTACAGATTCTCCTCCAGTGAGAAAATCTCAAAGATTGCTACACTTGTTCCCCCCAACACACACACACACACACACACACCTGTTTTTTCCACACTAGGGACACCACAGCTAGCCCAACAGGACTAGAAACCCTCCACAGGCAGGGTTTTATACCTTGTCCCAGGCAATGACTCATTCAGACTGGTGCTGCAGCAGGTGCAAAGCATTCATGGTGGGAAGGGACAGGTGAGAAGAGACTAAAAATGAGGAAATAGTTGGGGTGGAGAGATTTGGGGAGGGGGTTGCTGGGGGGATAGAGGAATGGGAGAATCAAGATCTTGATTTTGCTAGGAGCGCTCTTTGCTACATGAAGTGCATCAGTGAATCCTTCTGTGCTTCCAGTTATAACAGCAATCTACAAAATGAAACTCCTTTTTTTTTTATCTCCCCAAAGTGAGGTTTAACCTGCAGGTAGATGTCAAACACCCTGTTCTACTCTGCATAACCTGCCCAAATCGAGGGCTTCTACATTATCAACACAAAGACATCTGCAGACTGAAAGAAGGAGGCATCGGAGACTGATGAGACAGGCAGAAATCAAAAATCAACAGAGAGCACTGTTTTGTTACTAATTTCTGTGATTTATTATTTTGAAGCACTGTTTTTTAACTCAGTTCAGTATGCCATAGAGCATCCCAGCCCCACTGAACTCCCTCTTTCTCCTGCAGGCCATGGCTCTCACAAAGCTCTTACTCGGGGTTATGCTTAGCATATTCTTGAATGTGCTCATGGTCAGTGATGAGCTGGATGAAGATACACATGACCGCATGCAGCTGCATTTGGAGATGCGTAACGAGGAGATGGCTCGGATGGTGCAGGAGCTGCAGCAGCAGGTTGAGGAGATGAACAGCATACAGCAAACTTGTGTGACATGGAGTGGCCTGCTCTCTGCTGCCTTGTGGAACTGGAAATTCTGGGTGACTGCTGGCTTCCTGCTCCTCCTGATTGTGGGGCTCTGCTGCTGCTCTACCAAAAGAAGCCCTGAGGTGGGCAGCAGTGTCAGCAGTGAAGAGGAGGAAGACAGTAAAGAAGAAGACAGTGAAGAAGACAGTGAAGAAGATGCTGTTGGCGCGGCAGATTTGGACGCATACATTGCAATGCGCAATGAGTGGTCAGCGGACAAACTGTGGAACCAGAGCGAGTGGGTGGATGCAGTGGTTGAAAGCCTCGTCATTGGTTGCCAATGGTCCAATTTCTTGTCAAAGGGTTTCTTCCTGGAGCTGGGACCAGCCATAGGGGTGGGCAACGCCTTTGATTGCTGGATTCCCCAGGAAGATGAGCCTGTCTACTGTATGCTCGTGCAATGAATGCTGCTTGCAGGATGAGAAATACAGATGTTACAGTAGTCTCAGAAGTTCCTTACCACGAATTTTCCCCCTCCCCAGTAACTTCAGAAGCAGAAGAAGGAGTATCGGACCCTCCTGGCACATCTCAGTAGTGCTGTGGAAGGGAGCAGATGTTTATTGAAGGGGGTGGGAAGATTGTCATGCCATGGGTGGGATCAGACAAAGCTTCCCCCAAAACATGTCTCCCCAGCCCACTTCCCATGCTGGCCTGCACGCTCAGGTACTCCAGCAACGAATGACAGAACTTTTGCTGTCCCCAGGAGATGGGCAGAGTCTGGAAAGCCACTCTGTACCTAGATATGGACATGAAGCAGCTCCATCCCACCTCGGAAGGGTCTGCCCCCAGCACTGCCAGCCCGGCCCTTCATCTCCCTCCTTGTTTCCAAAGTGTTGGGGTTTCTGCAGACCTCTCTCCCTGCATGTAGCTCAGTAGGCACCAACCTCGCTGCTGTTACCAGGAGCAAAATAAAATCAAGGCTGCAAATAACCCCCTGGGCTTGTAACCAAGAAAATGCCAGCATTGAGCAAAGCCATCTTCCAACCTTCCTGCCCTTGGGATTTGCTAGCGGATTTTTGTCCCAGCTATTCATGGCTGTTGTGACGATCTGAGCCCCGGCCTTCATAATAACACTCCTTTAACCAGGTACTTCTCTAACCCCTGAGGATGAACATGCTCACAAATGCGGCTCACAAGTCAGGTGTAAACACAAGTGGGTGCCAGTTTAAGCAGCCCTGGAGAGTGGTGGGCATGCTTTCCCTCCCAGCTCCACATTGCTATTTGAGAGCAGGACTTGCCAACACAGGAGTAGAGCTGCTGCTGCAACTGGAAGGACAGAAATGTGTTTTTTATCCTGGAATCACTCACCCTTCCTGCATGGGGGCAACCAAAGCACCTATGTGTGAGACAGAAACTGCAGAGCAGGACCCCGCTGATTCGACTTTTCCAGTGTAGTTTGCTATGCAGAAGAGCCTCTAGCATGTGGTTAGCTCACCCCATCTCTCCCCCAGCTATGGGGATGGCCAAGCTTCCTCACAGCAACCTTCCTTGCAGATCTGCTCTCACTGCTTGCTGTGAAATGCAATCCCAACAGCAGGCTGAGCAGGGCCAGCGCATGGGGTGTATGGTCACATTCCTGACATCAGAAATCACAGCCACTGCACAGTGACCAGCACACACTGCAGCTGGGAGCTCACACTGAGACTTAGGGGCTGTTTTATCCCTTCACCATTAATTTACGGCTAAAAGCACTTCTCTCCTTGATGTAAAGGCTCATACAGGGCTGGGAAAGTGAGAGGGTTTTCTAGGCGTCATCCCACATCTTCTTTCACTGCCCCGGGCAGGGTTACGCCCAGCTCTCAGAGCTCGCTGTGTCTCTTGCCCTGCTTCTCTCTTGCTGCCAGCCTCGGGGCTGTCCCACGCAGGTCCCTCCCAGGGGACCCCACTTTCTCTGCCTTGGTCTCCTGGGATGGCTCATCCTGCATGACTGTGTCCCCTCCTGGGCTTTCAGACGGGTGCTGTTTCAGTGTGTCCTTGTGGTGGTGGGACGCGTGGAGTGGGAGCTCAGGCATGGCAGTCTCCATCATCTGAAGGAAGTCATAAGCAGGAAGAGGTGGTTTCCAGTCTTCCTCAGACAAGGTACCTGAAAGCAAATACAGTCCCATGTTAGTAAGTTAAGAGCTAAGCAGCTCTGCTTCACAGACACTTCCCTTTCAAAGGAATTACAGCTTTTTTTTTTGCCCTTCAAATGAATGCAAAATTAAAGATTGTTTCTTAAAGATCACCCTCTTTCCTCCAAAACTCATACCACCACCCAAATTAAGCCAGCCTGAGGTGCATTAATATTTACTGGAGCTGGTCAAGGATCTGTTCCCGAAGGCTGTGGTGGTCCTCAGACACCCCCACTGCAAAGGTCACATTGGGTGTCTGTCCACCAGTGGTGGATGTTTTATTCAGGCCCCAGATAGACTGTTTCAGTGACTGTGCACTACTGGGACATCATCAGGAGTGAGGGGACTGCTGTCTACACAAGGAGGAAGTGGTCCCATTATGTGAGGATACTCTTTAATTTGTGCTTTTAAGATTGATCACACAGTTCACAGCACTTAAAAGCCTGATGAAGGAGGCTGTGATGGCTGGAAGTGCCTTTGGCCATGCATTAAGCTGCTCAGCCATTAGCTCACCCCACTGACACCCGCAAAAATGACACCCGCAAAAATTAAGGTCCCTACCTAGAGACCTACATGACAGTCAGGTGCTTTCAGCAGTGGCAATGGGGAGGATGGCTGGCTCCTGGGGTTCTCCCAGCAACTACTGGGTCAGAAATGGTACCTTCATCTCCAGTAAGAGCCTATATACATTCTACCCCCACCAGGTTGATGCCAGCTTTTGGAAACACTTGCTTCGAAAGGCTCATTTTAAAATCCACAAAAATCAAATGGAGTCACCCCATTGCCTTTCCAGAGCCTGGAGCAGGCTGATAGCTTGCAATTCCCAAGATCCCTGTAGCATCCCATGGCTACACACTACACAAGGAAGGCATATCTGTGCTGCCTTCCTCCAAAGCTTCAGCAAGCTGATCAAAGCAGGAGGGTTACAGTAAAATGCTACGTGGTACAAGCCAATCCTTCATGTCCCAATGAACATAGCAAAGCACCACCTTCCTTTTCCCATCCCCCAAAAAATGTTGAAAGGGGCCTAAAGAGCAGCTATCTCTTATGCTGACAACTGGGAGCTGAGAGACTTTTTATTAGCAAGCTGTATTTCGGGTCTGTTCACAGCAATTGGAGAGCACAGCCAGGTTTGGGGATTATCACGGGGAAGAGATGTCAATTCAGAACTATTCACTCTTGGCTCTGAACATTAAACAGTCCCCAAGCAAACTTGTGAGTGTGGGTATTCTCTTCTGGCTGGACTATTTGTACTTCTCTAGCTCAAACTAGCACAGCTAGTTTTTCCATCATTAAATTCCAGGGAAGACAATTTATTGCACGTAGCGTCTTCTCATAAACAGACCGGAGCTAGCCGTGCGTGCTTAGGAACATTACAAATTCATGCCTACTTACTGCTGGGAATCTCCAGTCCTGCTTTTAGCTTCTCCAGCCAAGACAAGATGTTCATTTCAGCAATGGACTGCTCTGATGGGAACTTGAATACCTGACCCCCAACATGAAGGTTCACCCAGATGAGAACAGGCAGTGAAGGCATGGTGGCAAAGTATGCCTTTAGGATGCCACGTCCCACTGGAGTCTTTTTCCTGTTGGAAAGAGGAGATTCAACTTGCTCACCAGTGGTTTGGCAGCACAACAGGACTGAGAGCCAAGCAAGCACCAAAGCCCTGGGGCCACATCCAGCAAAGCACACAATTTTGCCTGTGGGATACCTCTAGAAGCTCACCACACTATTTATAATCACAATGCCTTAAGCAAGCTATTAGGATCGAGTGGAGAGGGAGTGGACAGCAGATTGGGAGTTTAAAGAAAACCTCAAGCAGGAAGAGCTGGGGCAAACTCTGTACGAGGGTGTGAAATATTCTCCACCTTCAGTTTTAAAGAATAGGTGAGCCAGGAGCGGGACAGGTCCTGCAGCCCACCATGGTTAGCCCCTGTTTGCAGGCAGAGCTACCAGCTTCCTCCAGCCCAGCTGTGCCACTGCAGTGAGACTGCAGCAGGTGGAAAAGCAGGAGGTGATGCAGAAGGCTGTGCTCAGGTGGGCAGCTGATGGGTGCTTCCCCAAACACAAGGAGCTGGGACAGCACCTTCCCCAGGTGACACAGAGAGCCAAAGAGGATGTTGAGATGGAGGGACAGCAAGCCCACAAAGGCACTGAGTCCTTCTGGAGCTATTTTCAGGCTGACAGTGATGCCTGAGGTCTGAGCTGGCTCTCACCATGGGAATGTGGTCCTCTGTCTAGGACCAAGCCAGTGGCCATATTCTGCCCTTTTTTGTGGCAATGCCCCTTTGCTCTGACAGAGAACAGCTCCTTCTTTCTCAGGAAGGGAGATAAAAGGCAGATGTGTAGGTGGGGAAGTTCCAGAGGCTCTCCTTTCTTGTGCATTACTGGCAAACAAATTGTCTTCTCTTTGAAAACATGTGGATTCCCCGTTAGCTAAACTTCAGCCCACGCTGCAAGGCGCTTCCCAGACTTCAAAGCACAGTATGACTGAGACAGTGAGGTGTCTCTGGACTTGGGCAAAACAAACAGAGGCTAAAAACTGAAAACAGCTAGGGAGGGGAGGATTAAAAAAAAATCCCCTCTCCTACAACTTTCTATTACTTAGCTCCTGGATTCATTTTGTTTCTTGAATATTTTAAAGTTTGCTTTACGGAGCTTCTTCTGGTTGTCCCTTCTTCTGAAAACTTCCTTTCCCCCAGTAAACAGTCACTACTTGCCCTATTGTGCTTCCTTCTATTTGCCAGTGGAAAATCACCATAAGACACTCCAGGAAGGCAAATTTACTTTTTCTCCCACATGCAACAAGAATGTAAACAAGACCAGAGACAGGGTCAAGCTACTATGTGATATCTTTGAGATCATTTTACTCTACTGAAAATTACTTCTGCAATCAATTAAACATGTATTAATTTTACTTTGACATACAATTTTGCAGCTGCCCAGAACACATACTGAATCACTGCTAAATGATTTGACCTCCCAACTCATGATGATTTTAGACCAAATAATCACATTACCAGCTAGTGCTTTCAGTAATTGCAGACTCATTTTTTTCTTGCCCTGAAAGGCTGAAAGTGAGCTAATGGAAACAGGAAAAGAGAGTTTTACACACTCACAAGTTCAACCAGCAAGCCACAAATGCTTGCTGAGGTCTTCCTTTTGCCAGCTTCAGCATTTCCTTGCTTTCCATTTGACCGATGTCACCATCACTGAACAAAATGAGGAAGGGCTTTCTGAGTTGCAAGTAGTGGGGCAGATTTTGCACGGTGATTTCTGGCTGCAAGACATCAAAACAAGAAGTTGGGGTTTATGGGGATGATAGTACAGGTCAAAATTAGACTTTCTGTCCTTACGCGAGGGGTGCAGGGGTAAGCAAGGATGTAGTGCCCATGTTGAACGTAAGTAGCTTAAAAGCAAATGTGAGTGCTGAGATATTGGTGCATGCTGGAGATGACTACCCCCAAACATGCCCGTTGCAAGTGAAGTCTGTATGAGCAAGCTGTGCACTCCAAGATGAAGGGGTGTGAACAGAGAAGGCAGCAGCAAGGCCAGCTCAGCTCAGCTCCATGTCTTATGGCTATAACCAGCCTCTGAAAGGCATGTGCAAGAGGCAGGGAGCAGACCCTGCAAGAGGCCAACCCATCACAGCAGGGGGTATGTGACTACGAGTGCAAGCCAGTCAATTGACTCCCAGGGTCTCCTCACATGAGACCACACAGCAAACAGCAGATTTCTGTCCAGACTGTCTGATCCTAGCCATAAAACTTAAAACCAAATGTAACTCAGCATGAGTTACAAGCAATCATATTTATTTTGCCCAGCTCCATGCTATAATCAATTCTACTGCAAATGACCGCAACAGAAAAAGGACACTTTCTTTTTATTTTACTTACAAAAATGTCCAGCAATTCATATCTTATCACCTGCACCATGTCCTGTGCGCTCTGTTTGGACAAAGTGATGCTTTCCACGCTCTCACCTCCACCCCTGGCAAGGAGGAGGGCTGGGGGAGACACTCCATATTTACGGGATCTGAAAAAGAGGAACAGGGAGAGATAAGGCCAATGTGTTCCCCTGTCCCCTTCTGAAACAAGCACTTACCCTAAGACACTAAATACACACACACAACCAGGATTTTCTTCTGCAAAAAGACATCAGCAGCTAAATAATGGGGAAAATCCAAAACACTGCCAACAAAACTATTTGTTGGTGCTTCTCTTTTGTTTTCACACCTGAAGTTAGGTGGTCCAAATACCCATCCAGTGCTTTACCTCCCAAGCCAAAGCAAATAGCAGGTCTTCGACTCCATCCAAGGGACACCAATCTACATAAAATAAGCTCGAGAAGATCTGATTCTTGGCTTGGTGAACACAGGTAATTTTGCTGAAGTCCAGCCCTGCGTTAGAGCAACACACATACACTCTTAGAGAACTCAGCTCATCCTTTGCTCCCCAATGTTCTTCTGGTACAAGGGTTTAAAGAAAAGCTGGGAAGGTGGAAAGAGCAAAAAAAGGAGAAGTCTGAGCAATGAAAGGGCAGGGGGTACATCAAGATGGGAGAGCGATTTTCTGGAAGTCTGAGGAACTTCAGCCCTGAAGGTTCCAGATGTCAGTGCCCAGAGGAAGGGCACTGGAGGAAATCAGCTGCCTCAACGTTTTTTTTGAGGAGCATCTGTAGTTTGTTTGTCAAAGGCTGCTGGTAATTTTTCAAAAGCTGTGATACCAGAATTGCTGGGGAAGTGAGTGAGAGGAAAGGACATTTTAGGCTGGGGAGGTGGGGAGGTGGAAAGCTTTTGATTTCCTGTTCAAAAGTAATCCAGTTCATCTCTCTTCTTTTTTTCCATACATGGAAAATGCAACGCAGACTCAGCCTACTGCAAAGGCAGCTCTTAGAAAAGTCACATTACAACCAATTGCTCTTTCCACCATGGTTTGCCCAGGCAAATTCATTTCAGACACTTATTTTAGCAGTTCTGAATGGCACGGAGATTCCTTCAAATATACTTTAAAAACCTCAGTCTCAGTGTCAAGTGGTTTAGGTCATCAATGCAAAAGCAAGTGGAGGGAACTGCAGATGGTCCATTTTCATGATGTTCAGCTCATACACAGGCTTTTCAGTTCCTCCATCAAAGAACACTTACTAGAAATTTCTAAGGGGCACTCCAGATCTGCACTGATGCCTTGGAAAAGAGCAGTAATGAATGACCATGAACTTTCCTGAGGCCTTCAAATGTTGTGAACCCATTGCTAAACTGTTCTTGGATTTATCTGAGCCATTTCAGCTTTTTGAGTTTATCTTTGTAAATCCAGCCCTGAGCTAAGCTTTCCCCTTTCTGTTTGGACTCCCAGGTTCTGCTGCTCAAAGAAGTTGAGTCTCACACCTCTGGTCATGTGTGGGAGTCCTCTGAGCTATTAGGAAGATCCTTAACTTCCCTCTCCATTGTTTTTCAAATTAAACTGTATTTGCCATTAATTAAGAATGGAAACCCTTGGAAAAAAACCAACAAACCACAAAAAAACCAACAGGGATTTTGAATTTCTCAAACTTCCACATGTTTTAAAGAGACTCTTTGGCTTAACCATGTCTCAGAAGAGGTAAGGACTCTTGCTCCCTATGTCTAATACATCAGCTTGTTCAGCAGCCCTGGAGACAAGGAAGTTTTTTATATACCACCAGAAAAACAACAAATTCTCTACCTCATAGCTAGAGTCTACCCTGACATCACTTCTCGCCTTACTGCTACCGGTTGCTGGTATTGTTGCTTATGACAGCTTTCTATTTATATAGCAGAGGCATTTGATGGGTAATATGAGACTCGCATTTAAATCAAAAACATCTGCAAACAAATACTTGGCAAGAATCTGAGTATGTGAGAAATAAATAATGACTTCATTCAAACCATTTCTTCCTTAACACTTCTTTTTTTCACTAGTTACCAACCAAACGTGTTTGCTGAGCAAACAGTTTTGCTAACAACATGCTTTGTATATTTTGTATACCTTTTTCTCTGGGAAGAGAGGACTCAGCTCTCCATGACCAGGGAGCCACAAATATTTCCTCCTTGAGCATTTCACAGAAGAATAGTTTTCCTTTGCTTAAGAAGGGAAGTGAGCCTGGCTCTTGCATAAGTAATTCCTGTAAGTGTTTACTTTCTACTTACAGTTGAGAAGATGACCAGCAACAGTAGCTTCACCTACAAATCACAGCCAAAATCCAAACTTGGCAGAATGAGTAACAATAGAAACTGTATTAAATATTCCAACTAAACAGAAGCATGCTGCAGACTGCGGCTGAAGCATGAGAATGGAGGTATATTCTTGCATCTGTCATTGCTGAGAGAACACCCTGTCCTCCTTTGCTTGTTTAACTTCTATCTGCTGGGCTGAGATCCTTGAGAGACAAAAGTCTTTTAGCTTGAAGGGGGTCAGGTTTTTCATCCTGATGATGCTGGTTATGACTTCTTGACCTGACATTGCCCAGTGGTCTCCCACCCCAACACTGAACAAGCTTACTAAGACCCAGCCACTGGTGCTTTGAGCACTGTTTGGTTGATAGAGTGTACTACCAAGATATTTGCATTTCTACTCCCTGGGTATACCACAAAATGTCCATATCTCATCAGATATGCAAGAGAGGCATCACATCTGTAAGAAACTAATGAAAACAATTCACTCTTGCATTCCTGGCTGCTAAACCCACACCTGGAAAACAGGCCAAGAACCTTCTGGAGTTTTTAATTCTGCTTTGATAGCTAATTCCTGATGGAAATGAGACCAGAACAAGCTGAAGATTCCCCCTGGATCTAACTGATAAATAGGCACTGAAGCATCTCTCACAGTATACTCCAAAGCATTTTGCCCCTTTTGGTGTGAGTCTTAATGACACAGTTAAGTGCACAGACTGATACATGTTTAGATCCCATTAGCTCAAATTCTGCTTAAAGTTAGGGCCGCAATTGATGCTCTTATTCAATCAGGAGCTGACCAAGAAAGTCTTGACTTTGCTGTTACCATGCGTGCAGGAGAAAGGCTACTATATTTATCCAGCACTCTTCCTCCAGAAAGGGGATGAACCTCTCCAAAGCTCTGTCTGGAAATGGTGGTAACGTCTTGCTCTTGTCAAGGGAAGGGAAATTGGTGGGCATATGTTTCAAGGAAAAAAGTTCCATGGTAAAATTAACTACTGAAATGATAGAGGTTTGTCCCTATCCTTGGCAGTTGCAAACATCTCACAGCCAGATCTGAGTGCCCACTGGGAAGCTGGATAAGACTGAAGGGGTTTCACAGTGCTGCAGAAAGGCTGCCTGCTCCACACCAAGGCAACTCCATGGGAAGACAGCTTTTATTGCAGGGCTTCCAAACCATTTTCCAGCACCCAGGCACAATGCCCACCCCACTGCTAGCCAAGAAAGTCTGCAAGTAGTCACCAGCAGCCTCTCTTTTGGCTGCTCTTAGCAACTGGAGGCAGCCATCAGAGCAAGGCTCACATTTACACCTCCGGCTTTGGCAGCAATCCCCTTACACTCCCCTTCCCCATCCCACCTCAGCAGGCACTTTTGCAGCATCAGGACAAGGAAGAGGAGACGAGAAGGTGATGGGACTGCAGAAAGAGAAAAAACAGTAATAATTTATCACTTCTTCCTGATGGAAAGAGAAAGGCAGAACTGTTGTTTTTTTCTTTGTCACGCACTAATCCTAGCTAGTCCTATCATTTTTTCAGTCTGTTTTTAACTCCATAAAAGTTTAGTCCTGTTTCTATGAGGAACGTGAGATGCATGGGAGCTGGCAGGTTTGGAGGACTGAAAATACCCAGAGTGAACTGAACAGGAGGAAGGGAGATGACCATTCATTTCAACAGGGCTAAATGAACTGACCATGGACAGGCTGCAAATCAGTGGCAGCGCTGGGGTTACATCTCCCTTTGGTTGACTCTTCACCAGTCTTCTTATAGGACTAAGACAATTGTGGTTGTTTGGGGCTGCTGTTAACTCAGCATGACCAGTGACACTTGCTTAGGCATTGGCTTTCACTAAATGCAGATAGGTTTGGTTTGAATCCTCCCCAAAGAAAAAGAGAAACAACTTACAAAGCCAAAGCATCATCTTCAAAATACATCCCCATCGTTACATGGCCACTTAAGATGTTTCCTGCCTCTTCGAAAGCTTCCCTGGCTGTAAAACAGACAAAGATATAAAAATACACAATAGAAAGAGAAGTGTCAGCTTCCTCCTGGAAACCAAATTGCTGTCTGCATATGTAACACCCTCCCACAGCAAACTGTCAGCTGGGAACACAACTACGATTAGAGGCTCATGAGAAATGGATGCATATCATGGCCACAGGCTATGGGAGGAGGAGTTGGCAGAGGCCAAAAGGATCATAAAGAAAGTTCCTATTATGAGAACAGTATCTGCTCTTTAGCCACCAGCACTGAACTTCCAGGATCTGCACGACAGGGGCACTGATGGAAAATTAAATGCCTTTAAGGACTTGAAGTCCTTAAGTGTTCTTAGGAACAGGAGATCAATTGTATGTCTAATCTTATAAATCCCAGTGACTTTTGGAAATGACTGATGATGACTTAACTGGAGTAGTCCTAAAAGCCCAGCAGATAAACCAGCTTCCCCACAGGTATCTTTTGGTTTTATCCAGTTCTTCAGAGCAGGCAGCATCTGTTACAGGCACCCACATAGGACAGAAGGATCAAAAAGCTAAATGCCTTGCACACACAGTCTGCCCCACTGCTTTGTGCCGCTGCTGCATCAGGTATAAGGGTCCACCACTCACATTTTGGAGACAGCAAGGTCAAGTAGAGGATGGGGAGGAAAGAACTGTGTTGGGGCTCTCTTGATCTATCACAGCTGACTCTATCTGTGCTGAGAGAGTGAACACAAAGCCCCAACCCAGTCCTTTCCTCTCCATCCTCTACTTGACTGACTCTTGGGGCTGAGTTCAGGGGTCCTGAAGGAAATGGCCAATGAAGCGGCTAAGCCACTATCTATCATATTTGAGAGGTTGTGGCAGTCCAGTGAAGTTCCTACTGACTGGAAAAGGGGAAACGTAACTCCCATTTTTAAAAAGGGAAAAAAAGAGGACCTAGTGAACTACAGGCCAGTCAGTCTCACCTCTGTGCCCAACAGCATCATGGAGCAGATCTTCCTGGAAACTCTGCTAAGGCACATGGAAAATGGTGACTGATGACAACCAACTTGCCTTCACTAAGGGAAAATTGTGCCTGACAAATTTGGTGGCCTTCAACAATAGGGTTACAGCACTGGTGGATAAAGGAAAAGTGACAGATGTTATTAATCTGGACTTGTGCAAAGCATCTGAAGCCATCCTGCACAACATCCTAGTCTCTAAACTGGAGGGACATGGATTTGACAGATGGACCACTCAGATAAGGAATTTGCTGGATGGTCACACTCAGAGTTGCAGTCAATGGCTTGATGTCCAAGTAGAGATAGGTGACAAGTGGTGCTCCTCATGGGTCAGTGTTGGGATCAGCACTGTTCAACATCCTGCTGGCAACATGGACAGTTGGATCAAGTGCACCCTCAGCAAGTTTGCCTATGACACCAAGCTGTGTGGTGCAGCTGACATGCTGGACGGAAGGGATGGCATCCAGAGGGACCTGGACAGGCTGGAGAGGTGGGATAGTGCCAACCTCATGAAGTTCAACAAGGCCAAGAACAAGGTCCTGCACCTGGGTTGGAACAATCGCCAGCACAAATACAGGCTGGGCAGAGACTGGACTGAGAGCAGCCCTGAGGAGGACTTTTGAGTGCTGGTTGATGAGAAGCTTAACATGAGCCAGCAGTGTGTGCTCAAAGCCCAGAAAGCAACCGAATCCTGGGCTGCATCGAATTAAGCATGGCCAGCAGATTGAGAGAGGTGATTTTCACCCTCTACTCTGCTCTGGTGTCATCCCACTTGGAGTACTACGCTTAGCTTTTGGGGCCCCCAGCATAAGCAGGACATGGACCTGTTGGAACAAGTCCAGAGGAGGCCACAAAAATGCTCTGAGGGCTGGAGCACCTCTGCTTTGGAGACAGGCTGAGAGAGCTGGGCTTGTTCAGCCTGGAGCAGAGAAGGTTCTGGGGAGACCTTAGAGCAGCTTCCAATACCTAAAGGGGCCAACAAGAAACCTGGAGAGGGGCTTCTGACAAGGTGTGTAAGGATAGAACAAGGGGAATGGCTTTAAACTGACAGAGGGGAGATTTAGATTAGATGTTAGGAAATTCTTTGCTGTAAGGCTGGTGAGGCACTGGCACAGGTTGCCCAGATAAGCTGTGGCTGCCCCATCCCCAGCAGTGTTCAAGGCCAGGTTGGACGGGGCTTTGAGCAACCTGCTCTAGTGGAAGGTGAGGTGTCCCTGCCTGTGGCAGCGGGGCTGGAACTGGATGGTCTTTTAAGGACCCTTCCAACCCAAACCATTCCATGATTCTATGACTCCAGATCTGGTTTATGCCCTTGTAAAACAGCCCCACTTTTCAGCAGCTGGAATTAAGGGAGAGACAAGCTTTGTGAGAATATGCAAGCCACAGTGTGTGAGTTTGTAAAATACAGTTATAGATCAGAGATCAAAACTGGTAATGCCAAAGGTACAGTAAAAATGGTGGATTTCAGCATCACCACCCCTCCCCCTTCATACTGAGCAACTGAAAACAATAAAAAAGGCTCTTTGGGCTTACGGATAGTGAGAAACCACACTCTTTGAAGAAGTCAGATGTAACCCAAAAATTAAGGCTAGATCTCAGATACAGCCATGATGTATGTTGCTTTATAACTTACGTAAGATGTCATTCAGATACTATCTTGTGTTTCCCATAATGTTGACTGTCATATCACGATTGTCCAGCCCAAGCTCTTGGGACCGGTGACTCAGACCTCAGTAGACTGAGGCTGGCTCACAATTGGTCACTTTTTGGTTCTTTGCCTTCTGCTTCCAGCTACACTCAAAGCCGTATTTTCCATTGTGCATCCCTGGAACCACAGGGACCACAAACTTTCATTTACACTATTTTCCTTTCCAGATGGAAGCTGAGATCCTTAAAGGAGTGGCCCATAGAGGGTTCAGACATTGTAGAAAACAACATACATATGACACAGCTTGGCTGGTTCATTTTGATATGGAGAAACCACTGTTGGGTAGGTCTGATGCTGGTTTCCAGCTCTCTGGGTTTTGGATATTTGACTTTTCAATGCTGAAAGAAAAGCAACCCAAAGGACTGGCTGATAAGGTTCACCAAGAACTTCATCAACAAACCCCCAACTGCTGGTGAAAGGCCCATGGGAGACCATCAGCCCACCCTGTGCCACAAGGCACTGAAGGACCCGGAAAGAGCAGGCTCACATCCAAACTTCCTGAGAAGAGCCCTTCTCCAGGTATTTAACTTAAACCCTCATTTGAGGCACAACCTTGCATTGAAGCGATGCCCTGGAAAAACACTGGCACCAGGAATTCTCCCCTGAATCAGGGCAACTTTCAGCAGAGTCCAGACATATTCCTTTCATTGGGGTCATTCCTGATGAGATCTTCCCCCATCACACTTCCACATTTTTCTGTATTTTGGGGACTGTGCCAGACCCAGAGCCCAAGTCCACACAGCTCCACTTAAGAGACACAAAGCACTTCTAAAGAAGCTATTTAAATATTTCTTAGAAAATCAGACCCCTGAGACCACTCTTAATTTCCCACGGGGCTTGATCATATGCTGCACCCCATGCCTCGAGCTGGAATCCCAGCTGCCTTCCATGACATTGAATTGCACAAGCCCAGCTTCACTGCAGGAACGAATAAAACTGCCAGATGTGGAAGGGTCTACAGCTTCTGCACAGCTTCTGGAGACAGGATCTGAGCATCACCCCTTATCCCTCTAGCAGAATGCATCTCACGATCCCATGCTCTCCAACAGTACCTGTAGCATCTTTGCATGCCTTCTTCACTTGGTTTACACTGATGCTGGCAAGCCCTATAATGGTACCAGAGCTTTGCAGACCACAGGTGTATTTTAAAGCATTTACTGCATGGTTTAGGACAGTCTTACTTCCAAGCACGCTTCCAGTTTTTGCATAGCAAACAACTTGATCTACTGTAAATTCTTCAAGTTTCCAGGAAAACGCGTGTTCGTTGCCCTGATAATACCACCCACGTCTTTGTAATAGATTTTCATTATGATTTTTCCAACAAGCCTCTTTTAGCTCAGACCTACTGAAGGGCTTCCCAACATAGTTATCTGATACTAAGTGTTGGATAAAACCCAGGGCTTTATTTAACTGGACATCTTATTGCTCTGTTTAAGTTAACTAGAAATGGCAATGACATGGCCTGTTGATGGTTCAGGTTAGAGCAGGAATTCTTGCTGTGAGAAAATCACTGGAAATTCCAGATAAGTCTGCAGGCTGATAAGAGCAGCAATGTGGTTTCCCAGACTCTGGCCTGCGTTTGGTGCCAGAACAGCTGGCTCCAGTTTTCTGCTCCCTCAGGTCGTTCTGCATGATGCTTGAACACCCCACAGGTTACAGGCAGGGAAAGCATCACAGATTTCATCTCCCTTGGCATCTGCGGCTGTTACCTCAGACTGTGGATGCCATTCCAGATTGCAGACTGAGTGCACCCTGAGGGAAGAGGCAATCTTGTGGGCTCCACATAGAGGCATCTGGAAACCTCCAAGACTGGTTTGCATGGAAGGAAATGAACAACTCATATAGAAGAAAGAGCCTCAGCTCACACATCCAGCCAGATCCAGACAGGTTGCTTCCATGAACCCATTTCACCATCCAAGGTTCTACCATGGAGCTAATCCAGGCTCCACTCCTGCAGAGTGGAATATGTGGAATAGAGGGAAGATTTTGGAGCTCAGCTGATGAAACCCAGGGAGAAATGGACTAAAGATTTTTCTGTGATCAGTAAGATTTTCTGCTATATTTAATAGATTTAGACCCTCCAGAAACAGGCAGGCATATCAGCTGTCAGCTGGCTCCATGAACACAGCTCCAGTGTTTTCTGATTGGTTCTAGACATTTTATTTTGTGCATTTAACTAAAGTTTACAGACACAGTAGAAATTCAAATGAAAAATAGTCTGAAATTTTGATCTTGAGAAAGATTGGGAAATTCTCCATTTTTTAATGCAGCAATTCCCAGGGGTAGCTGGTAACTGAGAGACCATGGGGTTGGAAGGTCCTAGCTCTCCCCTGTGGATTTCACTTGAGCATGACACGATGTTCCCTTTCCAAATGGACTTTATTTCCTCTCCCTTGTTAAGATATACAACTGTCACATGAAAAATCACCACAGCCCTTGGGTCTATTTCCTTGACTTTCAGAAAGGTTATGGAAACCCACTAGATGCTGGACCACAGCTATGGCATGCAACAAATGACACTGGAGCAGCATCTGAGTGACTAGCAGCACCCTGTGCAGCAGGCAGGGCTGGAAGAGCATGACTGCTCCAAGTTTCAGCCACTAGGCAGGACTATATTGACTGATACTACAAAGTGAGACAAATTCAAACATGTTCAGAACACTCCTTCCAGCAACTTTGCTTACCATTTCTAGCTGATGTCCACCACTCTGGGGGCTGTGCCCACCTCTTTCAAAGTCCATAAGTGTACTGCATCGAGTTATTCACATTACATTCTTTCTGATGCAAGAAATTTGTATTTTAACTTATTGCTCCTTTGTTTGGTGGGGGTTCTTTTAAAAAAAAGGTTTTGGATTGTGTGTTGGTTGCAAGCACTGGGACTACCACATTTGCAAGAGGAGGAGTCAGCAAGGTAACTATCAATCCTATACGGAAAAGGGCTTTCTTTAAGAAGGAGATGTTGCTGTGAGATGTTGCACATGGACTGCATGAAGAGGCTGATGGATATGGGCTTGTTCAGTCAGAGGCTGAAAGGGGGTTTAATGGCAGCCTACAACTACTTTGAAGGGGGCTCATAAGGAGGACAGATCCAAAATTCTAACAGTAAGGCACAGGAGATACAACAGGAACAACAAATACAAATTGTGGCTTGGTAAGTTCAGATGGGACATCTGTAAATACTCTTTCAGAGAAAGGTCAGAAAATGAACCCAGAGGAACTTCCAAGCACCTGGAACCACCCCTCTCCCATCAGGAATGAAGCTGAGTGCTTAATCCACAAATACCACACTAACCTTCACTCATGGCTGAACTAAATACTCCTAGAAGCGAAGTGTGGTGATAGGATGACAGCTCAGATGGAAACTCGCCTCTTAAATATCCTTCTGCTTCATCAATCGTCGCAAGCTTCAGAGGGCAGGAAACTCGGCTCCTGCAGAAAGGCAGAGAAACAACATGGGCTGCCGCCTTCTTCCTTTTTGGGATGAAGAGACAAAAGGGCAACCTCAATCCAACAATGCCCCAACGCAACATGACGACTGTTATGCCTCATCGGAGACAGAAATCAGTCGCCTGGGAAGAAAATCAATGCCTAGTCTCAGAAAGGCACTGGAGCTTGTTATGAGGAAGAGAGAAAGAGCCTTGCGTCAAACTGGTTGCCCTCAGATCTTTGGGATTCCCATTCTGTCCAAGAACAGCTATTCCCTGACACTGAAAAGCACAAAAAGTTATTAAGCTCATTTCCAAAGCAGGTCTACAATCAGATCTGACATTATTTTTCCAAAAAAGATTTCCATTACACAGGCTGTGAAGTATGCAGAACATCATCTAGCAGATGTGCCAGTCTTACTATGTTGAGACTCATTAACAGACACTTACAGCATGATGAAACTGGTCAGTTCTTTGGTTCCCCACATGCCATCATATATCACTGATCTCGCTCCCTTCTCGTAAATCTTAATGGTAGGAAATTGAGTGACATTCTCTTTTGTGCAAATGCCAGGCCAGTCCCAGCAGTTTACCCGAGAAAGCAAAACCCCCTGAGTTCCTAGAGTGGAAAACAAATAAGTTAAATAATATTAAAAAAATAATAATTTAAAAAAGGAAAAGAAAAAGAAATAGTTGAAAAAAGTGCTTTTTGTTAGCTTCTTTGAATATTATCATATATATTTGTATTAACACTGCCAGAACTCCTATTTGCTTTGGCATGCATCCTACCGAGCTGGATCCTAGCACAGGGAGTGAGTGCAGGTGGGCTACCATTGAGAAACTGCTGCACCATTCCTGGAGTCAAACACTTCTTTGTGTGGGCAGAATGCCAAAATCCAGCCCAGAATAAACAATCCCTTTGAGTACAGGCTTTCTACCTCTTGAAACCACTCATGGATATGCCTTACAGTTTTGAGCATAAAAGTAGCTATTTCCAGCCTGTGAATGTATTAAATACCCCAGTTTGATTGATTCAAACAACAGATCAGGAAGAGAATAAACTCAGGGAAGTGGTAGGTTGCACTTCTCAGAAACAAATTTACAGAGACATTCACATCTGGCTGGTTATTCAAACAGATACTGTGAAACCCTAAGGCAATTGTCCAGGAGCATAAAAGGCAGCAAGAAAAGGTACTGGAAATATTTAGGAATAAGGCCAAGACAAAGAAACCATGCAGGCACTCACTTACAGGAAAAAGAGAAGATAAAGCTGGCGTGGAGGAGCCTGATGCATTCAAGGCTTTTCACTTATTAAGGTGCCCAGTATTGAAAAGCATCTGTTCTACTTAAAGCATGAAGCCAAATACACAAGGAACCATTAAAGGTGATGTAAGCAAGCTAGATGTAGTACAGGGTGGCAGTCTGATGGCATTCCCCTATCCTACAAACACCAGCTGCTCATCTCCAAAACATTAGCATGTACCTTTAAGACCATAAGGGGTCTCACAAGTAAGGGAGAGGAAGAGTACTTGGTAATTACAGAGCAGCCAGTCCAACTTTAGTTCCTGAGAAAAGTACAAAATAAGCTTTTTATGGGTCTCATCGAAGTGATTATCTCATGGGATTTGTGAGCAGCGAAACAAATGAAGGGTGGTTCTCTGCATGCTCTCCATGAGCCCAAGATACTCCAGCATGTCCTTATCAGCCTTTCTTTCATCTGCAGCCTGGGCAAAGACCAGCACATACTGCTGCTGCTCCATGGCTGAGCCTGTGCTAAGCTGGCAGGTGAACCATCACCAGCTTCACCAGCTACCTTGGTGGCCAGCCTCGCCTAACCTGCCTCCTACCTATTTGCAGGCTTGACCAAGGACAGCAGGGCTGCATACTATCCTCAGGCCATATCATCCATACCCACTGCAGGAATGCTGTATCTCAGAAATCTTCATGCCTTCCCTAAATTTGTTTCAACAGGATTCAACAGTTATATGGGAAAGATGAGATGAAACGTAGTGACAAGTACACACACGGAGGCAGACCATCGCGAAGTGTCCTTCAGAAACAAGAGTAAGGGCAGGTGATGAGGATTTCTCAAGAGTACAGCAGAACAAAACAGTCAAGCTTTGTTCTCTCTCTGTCTTAGGTTTGATTCTGATCACTGTTTTCATTACAGGCCTGGCTGATGAAATAAAATACACACACTGCAAATGATCTCAAGCCCAGAGGGGCAGAAAGTAATTTCAAGGGCAAAATGTAACAACAGCAGTGTTCTGTAATGAGAAGCAGGATGCACAGATATCATCACTGCTGCAGAAGAGAGCAAAGCTCATTCTGGGATGAACTCTTAACAACATCTACAAGATATGGGAGGAAAACGATGCTCTTCTGTGCCAGTGAGACCCCTGGGGAGCCCAGCAAGTCAGGCTGGGAAGTGTTTTTAGAAAGGCTTAAACAGATGTGAGAGACCCTGATGAAATTTGGAAGACCTGCCTCCTGAGGAAAAACCCAAAGAACTGTGCTTCTTTTGATTGGAAAGAAAGAAACAATAAAATCTATCAATATGTAAAGTCTGCTCTGGAAGTGACACTAAGATGACTCACTGTTGCCAGCTGGGCAAAGACAAGCAACAACCTATTCCCAGGCAGGGAGTTTTGCCCTGATATTGAAACAAGCTCCTGAGAACTAAGCACAGCTGAGGCTTTTTGGCAGAGAAGCTGTGGAAGGGTTTAAATCACAGGTTAGAAACATGCCTGCCAGGGATGGGTAAGGCATTTCCACAGAGAAGAATGAAGGCAGAGATGACCTTGGCATGTGTTCCTATCCCCTATCCCTATGTCCTTGTCATCCCACTGGACCATTTTCTGCAACCTTCATTTTAGGCTCTGCTTTGCAGCTCACGTGAGGAATTTGCTGCTGTTCTGCCTTGTGTCAAACTTGTGTACAGACAAAGCAAGCAGCAGCACGGAGTTAAGGGTCTGCAATTCCACCAGTCAGGAGCTGTCAAAACACTCCATGAGAGCAGAAATGGTTTGTTTCATTCTCCAGGCTCTGAAATAACATCTCAAATTAAAAGCCCCTGGATTTATTTCACACCTCTGATCCAGTATAGCTGGTTCTCTTCATTTCTTAACACATAATCTTGTGTGTTGCCCAACTCTGAAAAATAATGACATGGAAATAGGGCTTTGATGTCTAGTTAAAACTGAGTTGCAAGGCTTCTCTAAGGCCCCTCAAATATGAGTTTTAGTATTTGTATACAACCTCATGGGATTATGTACCAAAAGTGCTCCAAAGGAGCCCCATCTGGCCTGAGGAACACTTTGTACAAGATGATCACTTTCCATCCCAATCTGCATCATATTATTAATTACTGAATGAGCAGCAGTTTCAGCAGTTGAGTTACTCAGCAACAGACTGTTCAGCCCTGGGGTCATTATTGGATGGGAACAAAGGTGAAAGAGGAACACAAAATCCTACTGTTCTGCATGTTCAGGTGCTACTAAAACCACCAACAGTGAGAACCTCTGTCTTAGGGGTCTTATAAAACCAGAACAAGACAAATCATCAGTGCTATAGGGAACAAGAAAAGACAAGAATCCCTTAAACTTCTAATCCTTTTGAGGGCAGGGCTGACATTAAAAACAGCTCTCGTGAAGAGCTGGTCCAAAGGCTTCAGCATGAAAGAGAAATAATTTAAGTATGAAATGCTGCACTTCAAGAGCAGGGATCCAATATGGAATGGGAAACAACTACTCAGAAAGCATCACAAAATGGACTCCTAAATCCTTACTTCAGATTCAGCTTCCATGAATACGCATTGCTAAATCACACATTTTCATGCCTTTGAACTACAACTTCAGACCCCTGTCTTTGGAAGCCATTGGTCAGAAAGACTCCACAAGCACAGGAGAGGGAAGCAGAACTGGTTTTCATCATTACTGCTTTTCTCAGATACTGGTTTCCTCTCTTTTTTGCAAAAAAAAAAAAAGCTAAGAAATGCTCAGCACTGTCTCACCTTCACATCCTGCTTTCTTGTCGCAGGGTTGCTGCTTCCAAAAATTCACATCTTGTAAGAGAAAACAATAGCTGCAGCAGTTACCCCCAGCAGCAGTGAGGACAGCATGCTCTTGCAGAAAGACAGAGATGCTTTTTCTCTTGCTACATTGGATCTCTCAACAAAAGGAAAACACTTGGGCTATAAACTTAATTTTGTGATGATCTGTTGAACATCTGTTTCTGGATGAGTCATGGGGTCATTCCAGTCTTCAACCTCCTCTGTTCTATTACTCTTGATCTCATATGGCCTATCCTCAGTGCCATTTTGCATACAGAATTGGCATCAAAAGTGGCACCTGGTTCTGCAACTCAATATGTGCCTCTAGAATGGGTGATTCATGCCTCAGACAGCTGGTCTTGGCTTCTCAGCCCTTAGGAAGAATGCTCCACCCCAGAGAGCAGAGAGGAATACAAGCACTTCTAGGGGAGCTGAGAGTCCAAAGTCAGTTCCCATGTTTTATTCTCAGTCCTGCATAGCTCAAGATCTTCCTTCTGGACCTTGCAGTGCCATATCTTCCCTCATCCTTGCCCTAACTGAGAGCCCAGGGACCCCCAGACTTTTAGTTCTTCTAGTTTCCCTGGTAACCAGCCTGTGACTCAGGCTCCCTCAGCAGCAGAGACTAAGGATCTCCAGACCCACTAATGCAGCCGTTCTCCATCCTGTCCAAGGCCACAGTCCAGAAAGCAGACTGGAGTCATTCTACAGGTCACATCTGGCCTGGGATTCTTTTGTGGGTACTGATGACAGAAGGAAAGCCCTGACCCCAATCAGTTCATAATCTCTGTTGAGAATCTGCCTGTGGCTGCTTCCATGCACTGAGATTGTTATCAAATGATTAAAAAAACACATGGTGAAAGACTGGCTGTGCAGAATCAGCCAAGGTTTGACCACTGGCTCAGGAAGAAACAGGGTTTCATTCACTGAATCTCCCAGGTTGTTCCTCTAGCTGGTCTGATTGCTGGAGAGTCTAAAAGAAACCCCAAACCATCAACAACTGTAACATCTCTAACAATAACCACCCTCCCCAAGCTGTCCTGTTTATTCCTTGGATTTCAGTCCAGATCAAAGCTGCTGGTGACCTTCCCTCCATGCAAACTATGAATGCAGAACCACTTTCATCCAAACCACAGCATTGCCTGCAGTGTTTCCAGGACGGATTCTTGCGAGCAACTCCTATTGCATCTGCTTCCCAGAAAGCTGTCCGTGTCCTCTGCAGGCTCTATACATGTCCCCACTGCCGAGAGCTCAGCCCCAGCCCTGCTTGAACCCTGCAGGAAATGGCACCAGGCTCCCAGGGAGTGCCACCACTAGGAGAAATGAGCCTTAATGAAGATAAACAAATAGAAGGCACCAGCCACCTACAGGGGTGCCAAACCAGCTCTCACCCAGATCCGTATGACTTCCTCACTGTGCTGCAATGAGTTTGGGATGAAGCCACCTCAATGACTCCTGGAGTCAGGGGAAAATAGAGGCACCTCTGGAAGAGATTTTAGCCCACGTAAGGATGATGAATGAGCATAAGAACCCACCTCTCCCCATTAACCATAGAAAGGGATGGGGCTGAAGACTTGCACGAAGCTGAACTGAGGCTTACACTGCTCAGAAACTGCTCAGAGGCTCCCGAAGGATCACTCCCTCCTGGCTTTACTACCAGGCTACTTGATGCGTGCTGTCTTTAAGTGTTGCTGATTCTTGCCGTTACATGTTATTTATGGAGTTCTGTGGCTGCCTATGAGAATTCCCATGTAAATAAGGCAGTCTCCATGCCCTGAAGGCACCATCATTGTAAATTCTTCCTCTGACACCATCCTGCCCCAGTGGACCTGGGCCTGCGCACACCCGTCTGTCACACTTTCCACCAAAACTGGGGCCAGTTACTGCTCCTTTTCAGATCAAGTACTTCCAAGGACAGAAGGTCTGATCTGCCACACAGCACACTGATTTGCTGTGCACCATCTAGTCCCTTCCCTTGTACAGGCCACAGGTGCTCTGCCCTGTTCCTCCCCATGCTTCGGCATTCATCACACAGGTGACACATCAGCATCACCACCATTCATCACACTGTCACTGTGCTCACCAACATCATTATCATCACCACCATTACCATCATCCATCACGCTGTCACTGTGCCTACCAAGACCACCATCTCAGCTGCAAGGCAGTTGGGCAGCTAGTGCGTACCAGTTCACACCAACAATATAAGGTGACTGCAGAAGGCTGCATTCCCAGTCCCATGACTTTCTAGAGGCACAATGAACCACAAAGATTTCTAAATAAGAAAGAAAGGACTCTTCTAAAGCAACCTGATGTGGATATGCCTTCTTTAAGAGTCAGAGGAAAAAATTAGTATATTCTGGGTGACGGATGGAGATATCATCAATATCCTTCCAGTCTTCTGGTTCCTACTACTAGGGTAGTAGGCTGTAAAGCACTCAGACCTGCGGTACCTTACCTTCCAGGTGATCAGCCACCTCTGTGTAAGACCTCAGCACTGCCAGGGACACTGACTCCCCTGAAACACAGGAGAGACACAGCTCTGAAGGACATACAGGTGACAGACCAGCCCCACCTTGCTCTCTGACAATGACACATTACAATTCTCTGCATCCTAAGGTGCTTCAAGCTCTGAAAGACTTCAAAGAAATAAGGAAAACTGGATTTTATGCTTCTGCACAGCACACAGCAAGCAGGTTATTTAGGCTATCCCGTGATACCACAATATCCCCTCTTGTCCTACATTTGGTCCCTGTAAAATGAAGGTTAAAAACCTATGAACATTGGTAACTTCTATGCTGAGAGATACTGTCTTCACACATTATCAGTCAGTGAGAAGAACTGATTTAATCTGATTGCTCAGTGGGGAGGCCTATGGGGCTGGATGCAGCACTTATCATTTAAACTTGCCTACAGGATTACCACAGGATGGAAAGCACAGCGAGCAGCGCAAGCTCAGAGAAAGGACACCAGACCACACCTCATACTCACAGCTGGCATAAAACAGCACCACTGTCCGGGCAGTCTCCAAGAGAGCAGAGCGGAAGGTTTCCTCTGTCAGGACACGGATCTGCTCCAGGGGCAGCTCTCGCTTCTTGTCCCTGGAAACTGCTTCCACCACCTCATCATCCTGAATGTCTGCAAGGGACCCACAGCTGTACATGAACACAGGTACATGTGCAAGGCAGAGGGAACTGCAGCCCCCTGAGCCACCCAAGCCCTGTGTTTTCCTAAGCCAGTCCTTTTCAGCAGGGACATGGTGACTGTTGGCAGGGGGTAAGTAACTATCTCATACAGGGGAGTGGAGGCAGAACACAAGTACAAGCTCATCAAAAGGTACTCATGCCATCTCACACCAGTTGTGCCCTGTGATTTGAACATTATTCTTCCAGCATGTTGGCTCCTCTAGCATCCTCTGCCCCTGTGCCACTTTTTTTCCTAAAACAAAACTATTTTTCCATGGAAAACAATGCATTTTCAAGGACGTGCTGCGGGGCCCAGTGTTTTCTCCCTGGGGAAGGCAAGCCTGGAACAGCTTACAGAAAACCATGTCTCAAACCTTTCTAATGGGCCTGATAATTCTGAGACTCTTCTGATGCTTGAAAAGAAGACAGTGCTGGGTGCACTTTAAACCCCTCACGCCTCTAAAGCTGAATGTATTCAAGCAGAAGCACCCCTGTCCCTCATGCAGCACTTCTATAACTGTTCCTCTAACAACTGCTGATTTTCCTCCCTGTGCCTGTCTGCCACAAAACTCCAGTGATCTGCAGAGAATGAAAGAGCCACTTGTACAACCATGATGTGACTGTGACGGTTTGCTTTGGATTTGCAAAAGTGTTCTCTAATGCTTTAACGTATGCCTGCACATCTCTAGCAGATGCCGATGCATGTCCTATCTGATGACAATCAGCTTTTCATTGTTTAGGTGCACACCTTGATTATTATTCTCTTTTTCATCCTCATCTTCCTCTTCCCCCTCATCCTCCTGGATTTGTTTGACCTTGTTCTTCTCTTTCACCAGGGTTATAACTTCATCAGTGTCTTCCAAGAGCAAGTATTTGATTGGCACTCCCTAAGGAAAACAGAATAAATCAGTGAGAGCAAAAGATCACCCTCTGCCTATTCTGTCCATATACCAAAATCAAGGCTGATGGGCACCATCACCCAACTCCTTTTTTGGGCGTATTTACAGATTCCTAAAGCTGCCAAGCAGGGGAGGACCTGGGGTGGGATTCTTTTGCCTAATTTCACCTGTGTATGAGGTTTTCTCACTCCAGACTGATGCTTCCTTGCATGTAAGTGCTCGTGGCTATGTGGGATCCTGTGCCTGGAGAGGTGAAAGTGAACACTCACTCCACCTCCAAACTTAGATCCACTTCTGCAAGAAAAAGCCCAGTGGCCAAATACTGAAGGAGAGCAGGGAGGTACAGGGTCCACTCAGCTGTCCCCACTCTAGAGGTGTCAGGCTGGGTCAGAGCAGCCCATCACAGCCTGGGAAACTGGCACAAAAAATCCTTTATCTCATGGAGCTCAACAAAGAAGAGTGCTCCCAAGTGTACAGGGGCTGACAACCCATGGAAAGAAAACAGCAAAATGTATTTCTCAGAAACGAGACCTTGTCAGCTTAAAATCAGTTCTGGCACTGTCTCAGCAAAAGACACTTCAGAGAAAATGAATTTTGTACTGAACTGAGAGAAACGACAAACTGCTGGCACCTCCCATTGGCTCTAAGAGGAGAAACACAACAGGTACATCTCTCACCAGGGCATGGGAAGCCCTCAAGGGATGCTCAGGTTCAGGTCTGATCCTGTATCTTTGCAATCACAAGTGTGACAGTTCAGGTAATCTGAGGCAACGTGTGCTCCCTGGCATTTGTCAGCACCGAATTCCATGTTGCCTCACAAGCTGGGTCAGGCCCCTCCAGAGTTTAGCTCGTCTTGATCAACTTCATTTATCTTACACCCTGCCCTTTTCCCAGATCACTGCCAGAGGCATTCAGTTACATCAGTTCAGCACAGACCTTTGGTTGTTTGCACTCAGTTTCATGCATTTCCTCTCCCATCCTTAGAATGCCTTTGCTAAAGGGGCAAGACCCTTTAGAAGTCTAAAGGAATTTGGACTTGGACTACTATATTAGGTAGTTCACCAACTTGTGTTGCCTTAAGGTGTAATGGAGATGTCATCCTATATTTTGAGACCAAAGTAAACTCAGTATTTTATCCTAACCAGCAGGCACAATTGCTCTGCAGTACCAAACTCAGGCTGTTCCAAGTACATGTGTGCATCTAGGGAAAGACACTACCCCTTGAGCTTCTGGGAAGGCTGTCAAGTAACAACGGAGCTGAGCAACACCCCAACACCTCCCAAGAGCACCATGCCCAGATAGGGAAATAGGAGCTGTAAAGAAATCCAGCATCTGACCTCATCTGGCGTCTTGAGCGCAATGTTTGACCGGCGCAGAACATTCAAACCTAAAAGGTCCCTTCCAAAGTACAAAGTGAATATTAGATGGTGTGACATGCAAGGTCACCCCCTCTGCTCAGCCTGCCTCGCTGGCAAGCCCACCTTCCTCAGCAGCACCACATCCTCACAGAGTCATGCTTTCAGACTGCCCCAAGAACTTGCAGGAACCCAGAATCAATGTCAGTGGTGAAGAAACAGGCTCCAAGTGACCTTCTGGTGGGACTGTGCTGCATAACGTGCCTATTTCACAAGGAGCTTGGATTCCCTTTCTGTGATTTGGGTCTTTGCTCACAAACTGGTGACCACATCCCAGTGCAGCTGCTCTGCTGGTGGACATCAGCTCATGCATAAATGCAGCCAAGAAATGCCTCCATACAGGGAGGGTACCATTGTGGCAGAAAGCTGCAATAAGAGAGCCCACACCCATCCTTCCTCTATCTCTTCCCATTTGCACAGCTGCCAGGAGACAGATCCAAAGGCTGTGCAACCATGCCTTCAGGGACTGCACGCTTCCTTTGGCAAGACACCATGGAAGCATTTGCAAACAAGCCAGTCTTGTGTGTACAGGCTGCTCCTGAGCCCATGGAGCAGAAATAAGTAACTGGTGATCAACCAGAGAGGAACCCAGCCCTGCACAGCACTGCTGCCCCAAGGCTAGCCACAAGCTTGCTCCCCGGGAGGACAGGAGATACATGGATACATGTGCTGGTCCAACTCTGAGAGACCTAATTGACTGAGGAGGCATCGCTGAGTGGAGACACCCACTGCATCCCAGCACCCAGCACTCACAGTCCACCTTCTTTACTGGATTTCCTTCTGCCCTTAATTTGAGGGCAAGATACAAGCCTTCCATTGGTGTTAAGTTTCCTTTCCAAAATCTCTCTTAGTCTGATTGTTCTCCACTTCTAAATCAGCAAGAGACTCAAACGTTTTTACACTTCCAGCCAGTCTGAAACTAAATTAATCTGACTCTGGGCCACTCCTTAAACATGACATTTTCTTGCAGGATATAGCCTAGTGTGGTGGGCTGACCCTGCCTGGGGGCCAGATGCCCACCAAGCCACTCTATCACAAATCATGCAAACTCAGTACACCTAGTTTTACTGCCTCTCATCCAAATGTGAGTAACTGACTATCACCTGGTGGTGGATAGTCAATTATTCAGGTGGAGTAACCGAGCTCTGAAACACCACAATAAGCAAGGAGATCCCCAAAACACCTGAGAGTAAATACCTGGACAAAAGGGCAACTCCTGCTTTTCCCAGGAGCTGCCAGGCCACAAACTCTGCTGTCCTCCTGTCAGCCTCGTAGGTCTCTGTTTGGCTGAGAATGAACACAAGTGGTAGCCCAAGCTGTAAGTGAACAGTAGAAACCTTCTCTGGGTCCTCAGCAACCTCTGTCTGGAGAAGAGACATGGTTACACTGCAGCACATCTCCACACCAATAAAGGCACCTTAGCTCTTCTGCACAGCCCAAGCCACCATATGCTCGCCAACCACAGAAATGAGACTCTTGAGAAAACGCCTTCAACTCTGATTCTAGAATATCCATCACAGCAGAACCCACACAACCCCAGTTAAACTGTTACAACTTGTCATGACCCTCCCTGTTAAAAACCTGGGTTTTATTATGCACGTTCTTTGTGACTTAGCAATTCCAGATGTCAAATCTCCATTATTTTTTATTTACCTGGCATCCATTCCCCGGGGCAGTCTGAAAACCCCAGCCACAACATGCAAGAGCTGGCATCCTCTCCCTTCCTGCCTTGGACATGCTGCTTCATGAACTGCCTTCTCTCCTTGGGCCTAGCCAGGAGGCTGCCTGAAAAAGGCACTTCCCAGCTCACCTACCCTTCCTTTTGGATGCGCAAAGATGTCACAGTGGGAACTGGAAGCCTGCTGAAGTTCACTGCCCAATGGAAATAGGAGATAGGAGGGAGCCTCCTGTCTCTTGTGCTGAGCAAGGCATGAGTGACTGATATAGAACTCCCCAGGGTGCTTAGCATCCTGTGGGGAGCCTAGAGGAGTGGCTAAGGACTTTGGGTTTGTCTCATTTGGAGAGAAGGAGGCTGAGGGGTGACTTCATTGCTCTCTATAGCTTCCTGAGAAGGGGATGTGAAGAGGAAGGTGCTGATCTCTTCTTTCTCGTATCCAGAGATAGAACATATGGGAATAGTTCAAAGCTGCACCCGGGGTGGTTTAGAGTGGACATTAGAAAGCATTTTTTTATCAAGAGGGTGATCAAAAACTGGAACAAGCTTCCTAGGGAGGTGGTCGATGCACCAAGCCTGTCAGGGTTTAAGAGGCATCTGCACAATGCCCTAAATAACATGCTTCGGCCAGCCCTGAAGTGGTGAGGCAGTGGTACTAGATCATCATTTTAGGTCCCTTCCAACTGAAATATTCTATTCTATTTTATTTTATTCTGTTCTGTTTCATTCCAGCAGAGTCCAAGGCACCTCCATCCCATTCCCACTCATGGTGCTTACAGGGCCCTCTGGAAAGATCCAAGCAAGCTGATTAGTGCAATGGAGTGTTGGCCCTATCCAGCCCCATGCTCCTTGCTTTGACTCAACCTGGGAGCTTTGCAATTAACTTCATGGGAAATGGGCAGATTCTCATGCTCAGCCTTGCCCTCCGCTCACACCTCCCTCATCCTCACGTCCATCCCAGCTTCCCTCATGCCCACAGCCCAAGTGGCTCCTCTTTCCCAGTCATACCACCAGAGGAGCCCCCATGAGCTTGAGGTGCCTGTGGATGTTGAGCATTGTCAGAGCTTGCTCCATGGCTGTCCTCCTGCAGGGCTGCACCAGGTCTGTTGCCCGCTGGCAGTGGCAGAACACCAGTGAGGCTGATGACACATCAGGCTCATCAGTGCTGTGAGAGAGAAAGCAAAATCCATGCTGAGCTAGGCATCCACCACAGGGTTTTAAAATGCTCTGACAGAGTGACCATGTTTGCTGGCATGTTTTACAGGGCAGATGATCCTCAAGTTCAGGGTTTGGCAGGTCTGTGGGACTTCTTCAAGAGCCCTCCTACTGACAGGTACAACTGTGTCCAGATGCCTTTCATAACTGCGATGAACATCTACTGAAGACCCCGGCTCAGTAGGTGTAAATGAGCCCAACCCCAGAACAGTTGGCCCAGCTTGAGACGGACGCAAATCAAGCTTTTCTCATGCCACTGCAATGAAGACCCTGGCGGGAGTAGAAGAGCTAAAGTCTACATATTTTTCTCATGTCCTTTTCCTCACTAATGACACATAGGGAATATTCTGGGGGTGGTCTGTGGGTTAACTTTAGGAAGTCATGTTCCTTTTCCTACGGCACACATTCCCCACCTCTAAAACTAGGATCATCTTCTTCATAAAGGGATTTTTGGTCTTCCTATGGAAGAGTAGACTGCAGTATTGGATCTCAAAGCCTGCTGCGCCAGTTGTCTGAAAGCTATGCACACTGGTGAAGCTACCACCATGTCATCAGCTGAGATGGCCTGTTGGTGTCCTCTTTGCTTCGAGAATGAAGTCAATTCCTGTCCAAATGACAAGCGTGCCATCTAGTGGCAGCCACAAAATGCTATCCCTGATGGTCCTGCAAGGACAGGATAGCAGCGCAGGGTAGGACCGCGTCGGTATCTGCCTTGGTGTCACCTATGAGAGCAGGCAAATTGCTATATAAATGCTTTGCTGAAGACATCACACGCTATGTCATATTTCCACCTTCCTCCCTCTCAGTTTTCTGACTGCAGTATATCACATCAGAAGCACGCTGCGTTGAAGGATCTGCCCTTTTAATGCAGGTCCCACATGGCAAGCGGATGGCCTGAGCTAGCTAGATCAAGTGAGGACATCAGATGGGAATTCCCAAATACAAGAGCAGTGTCTCATGCAGCTGCAGAACTCTCTGCTGGCAAAAGTTGCTGAGATAAAAAGTAAAAATGTGTTTAAAAAACTCTGGTGGCTGTTAACACCGTAATACAGGTTCAGCTCCCGTCTCTGAGAGTCCTGAAACCTCAGGCTGCCAGAAGATGGGAGGCTGTAGGCAACACTCATCCATTTCATCCACAATGAAAAAGGGTAGATTTAGATTAGATATTAGTAAGAAACTCTGCTTTGAGGGCAGTGAAGCTCTGGCACAGGTTGCCCAGAGAAGCTGTGGCTGCTTCATCCCTGGCAGTGTTCAAGGCAAGGCTGGACGGGACTTTGAGCAATCTGGTCTAGTGGAAGGTGTCCCTGCCTGTGGCAGTGGGGCTGGAACTTTAAGGACCCTTCCAACACAATCCATTTATTGATTCTGTGATTTCCTTATACCCCTTGCAAAACACCCATGGCCACCGCATAGGCAAAGTATAGAACTGGGAGGGCTTTGCTCCAACCCACTGCATCAGCTTTTACCCTTCTCAGCTGGCCAGACTTGATCATCAAAACAGAAGGCTACATGTATCAGCCCTCTGAAAAATGTGAGGTTTGACCATGGAAAGGAGAAAGTTGGCTCTTCTATAAAATCCTGTTCAATGGACAGTCACAAATGGCATGGCTAGTCCAAATCCAGGAACACAGGCAGCAGCTGGTTTTGGAAAAGCAGAACAGATCTGACTGCACTCCCCCAGAATAACATCCCAGTAACCAGATTTGACCTGGGAATCTGAGAAACCAAGAGTAGAGCAGCTCTACCTGAAGGGTGTGTCTGGACATACCTACTGTCTTTCAACAGCGTTGCCTCAGTTGTCAAAACAAACTGGTGGACAGTCCCATAGACAAAAGCTGCCTCCATCACGGCTCTGTGCTCTGGAAAGAGAAAGGCAAGATGATCTCATCTCAGCTCCCTCCACATCTCCACCTTCATCCTTCCCACTTGTAAGTACCAATGCCCAGGCTTTCAGAAACTCCATAAAAAGCCATAGCTGTCTGAAGACACAGTATACAGGTAACTGAGTAACTGGAGCTGGACCCAGCTGCTGATCCCCAGCAAACACAGATGGTGTACGTGAATCTGCCTATGGGTTTATTTATTTTTCAAGACAGCAACTGCTGGCTTCCTTTTTGTCTCAAGCCCATATCTGAAAGTTTATGCTCCCAGCAAAACTTTCCTGGTGCACCCGATCCCTTTGGAAACACAGCAAGACGTACAGAGGTGGAGAACTTGTGTCTGGGTGGCCCTTTCAGGTTTCCTTGATGCCCCATTTTCAGGATTTTGGTTCAGAAACTCAGCTCCCTTATACCTTAGTAAAAAATACTCTGTAAGGAGAGCAAAGGCAAAAAAATTAGTGTTAATACCTGCTGTCCCAGTAGCTGGTACATAGGCAAAGACCATGTTCGCCTTCCCTTTCAAGGCATTTTCAATGTTCTGAAGATCTGCCAGGGTTTCAACGTATTTAACTTCATTAAAGAGCAGAGCACTGAGGAATCAGAAAAAACTCATTAGCAACTATTTTAAGAGCAAATTTGCAGCCACATAACTGTGATGGGGAAAACAAGGTAGAATTCCAGCTTCTTGCTGGCAGATTGAAGATTCACAGCCAAATATAGTTGCCCAGATGTGTGCTGGTGAGTCATCTCAAGGGCAAAGTTTTAACAAGGTCAAACCATACCAAAGGGATAAGCAGCTTTCTGCTTGGCTGAGAGCCGCCTCTGGAATACATGGGGCTTGTATTTATGCAAAACTTCCTATCAACAAGTGAAAATGGAAAGTAAAAGATTTCATAGGGATGCATCTGGTCTGTACTTACAACAAAACGTTAGCAACAATGGAGTCCACGTCAAACAAGGCATCCGTGGGGAACTCTCTGATCAGCATGTTACCTCTATGGAGGGGAAAAAAAGGAGTATCACCAAAGCAACTATGAAAGATCAGCCACATGTACTAATATGATTTTCAGTCTGCTGAATGCTTCAGGTGTTTGCTGGCAGGGGTGGCTGGAAAGAAAACTTCAGGGTTGAATCTGAGGATTTAGTAGGATTAGGCTGGTTTAGCTGTCACCTCTGTCACTGCTGTTTCACTCAGCTTCTGGGGCCTCTTGATGAGAAGCACAGACTGACAGAAGGTCTCTATATACCAAGCACCACCTCGTAGACCCTCACCAGCAGAGGAAAAGTCCCTGTGGTCATGTACAACAGTGAGTGAGAACTGAGCTGATATATGGAGAAGTGTCCAGCTGACAACCCATGGAGACCAAGAGCTAACCCTTCACATCGAGGGCAGACGAGCTAACTATACAGACAGAAAGAGCAACAAGCAGTGTTTCATTCTAGGACTAGACGCAAAACCTAGCGGTTTGAGTGCAACTCTGGTGGACCTGGTTGTTGGAAGCCGCCAGAAAGCTGATGTCACTGCTGTCTTCATGGTTCCTCTCCTCCTCCACAGACCTCTCTGATAATCAACAGCATTTCCTTCAAACACTTGCACTGGAAAGCAGTCACAGAGTGGTGCCCAGAAAGCCTCCTCACCTGAACAGGTAGGCTTTCCTTAATGCATTTTCTTTTCCACAGTATCTTGAGACATCCTCTTTGGGACAATTAACCTAGACATTGAAAGCATGTAATTAGACATTCAGCTCCACAAATGACTACAAACACACAGCACTACAGTTTTATTCCACTCAGGAATAAAATACAGCCTTTCCAAACCTACTAGGAGAGAAAATACAATACAATGGAGTCCAGAGACAGGTACTGGAGTTTGCATTTCAGTTCTTCAGCTCAGCCTGCCTTGATTTGGGTCACACAGGATCAGGAGATACTATGATCTGCCCAACATACTCAAAGTGACAGATTGCTGACATATATATATACGCAGTTCTTATAATCTAATTACACTTGCCTGAATTTGTAATTCCCTCACCTAAATCTGCACAAAGCTTCAGATAAAAACCCCTTTATATGAAATATATATTGCACTGAATTGAAAAGAAGTGAACTGCCCCTATCTATAGAATCACAGAATAGTTAGGGTTGGAAAAGACCTTAAGATCATCTAGTTCCAACCCCCCTGCCATGGGCATTCCATCATTCTCTGCAGTTTGAGCTGGCACGAGGGAGCTTTGGAAGGAATTAGTCAAGTCCCACCAAAGGGAGACAAGCAGGCTGATGCCCTCCTGTGCAGCACACGGGGGATCATACTCTTCCTTCTGCCATGCCCATGGGTACACAGCAATGACCAGGCAATTCCATATGCCCCATGCAGCTGCTGAGAGGCCAGATTAGTCCAGCCAGCTAAGCCTGTTATGCGGGGTGGCCATGAAAAACAGCAATCTGCAGGAAAAATGGCCCCTAAAGCCAGGAACACAATTCAAAGTGCACAGGTTCATCTACTGAGACTGAACTGGGAGGCCAGGAGCAGCTCAGGGCTGCCCCGCCTGACCTACAGCACTGCCAGTCCTCTGCTTTGAGGGGTTTAGAGACACAGGCACAACATCAAGCCTCTCTGGGACACAGGAACCTGCCTACGGCCTGCAGGCAGAAGGTGCCATGCAACTCACAAGCAGCTGAGGTAAGGCCAAGGCAAGGGATGAAACGGGATGCCCTGGTCTGCTTTCTTGTGGAGTCAGCCCCAAAGGTGGCTCTGTCCACACCACAGGAAGCCCCGCAGAAATAATCTCCAGAAACAGCTTGTCCTGCCCCTCATCTCCGTTTACCTTCACCACTGAAATGCCATAGTCCTGGAGAGCCTCGGCTGAGTTCTCAATCTGCTGCAAGAAGGGCTGGGCACCAGGTGAAACTGAAACACAAAAAAACTCCATTTTCAATCTCCCCTTACAGGTGGGGCAGATGAGAGTACCTTCAGGGCAAGCACTGTCTGTGCTCTATCATGCTAACAGCATGCTAAGGTCCCACGCAAAAATCCCTGGGACATCAGAGCAGACCTGAGCAGAGCAAACAGGGAGCTGTGGCACACTGCCAGCAGAGATGTCTGCAGGGATATGGCTGGGAGAGATGGAGGGACTGGGAATGGTTCTGTCAGATGAGTGTTGTGCTGGGCTTCAAGTCCTCAGACTCAAGAGCATCCTCGTGCCATGCACTGAGACACTGCTTAACACAATATGGTCCTGCTCTTACTCCAAGAGTAAAGTATTTATTGAAACAAAACTAATTACAGACAACAACATGAATACCTGCAGTGTCCCCTCCTTCCTTTATAACACACCTAGCCTCTCAGTGCTGACATAGGAGCTGTGTCAGTGTTTCAGCCCACAGTGATGTCTCTGGGAAACCATACCCAGAGGTCATAAAGGAGGAGGAAAAGAAAGGCAAGGCCAAGGATCTTCTAATTCTTGACAGCACCTAGTTTCCCTGCATGCAAGGAATCCTCCTTTACCTCGGAGGTACCATGGAAGAGAAAACTGGCCCCTTTCAGGGGACAACTCCTTAGGAGCCTGGGTTTCTCTTCCAAGGTACCTCCAGAAAAGTCATGAAGGGGTTTGAAGGAGTGTGCCTGGGGACATAACCAGGAAAGATCCCACCCCAAAAGGTCTCTGCCTGTCAGGAGCACTTGGAGCCATGCAAACACAGGTTTGCCAGCTGAGCTTGATGAGCTCTTCAAAATCACTTCAGGTTTAAAAATCTCAAGAATTGCCTCTTCACTGTTCCACTGACACACCCTCACACAGGCCTTTGCTGAAAACCCAAGCTGATATAAATGCATACTGTTAAATACATACCATTACGGCTGAAATAAGCTAGGGATGCTCTGCCGGCTTGCAAGGCACTGAAATACCGCTGGGGGCTCAGCTCCTGCAGCACCCTCGCACTTCCACACGTTGGGATGAAGGATGCACAAAAGAGCAGGAAAGAGAAGGAAGAAACCCATCTGTCCTTTTGGGTTGACATGGCTGTTATCAGCTACAGGCACGGGAGAGTGACAACTGAGAAAAAGAAATAAACAAACAAACAAACAAATATTATGTATATACACACACAAAACTGTATCTATTATACATATGGACACAAACATATATATGAGCTGTTCAGTTAAGTGCAGCATGTCTGGAATTTCTAGATGTGGCACAATCGTCTCAAGGACATCATGAATTAGTGATACAACAGCAGGTGATCCAAACAACTGTAAAGATGACAGCAAAGGCCATTCTCTTTCCTCTGAATTGTATCTGTAAGTGCATGGACTCTCAGTGATTTCAGTTTAGGGCTGGTTTTCTTCTTTCTTTTTTTCTTCTTTTGAATCAAACAGAAATTACATGTACAGGCAGAAAACAGTGATGGCATCATGTGAAAGAAAACCCACCCAAACAGTCTCAAATCTTGCTAAAAAGCTTTGAGGATGCCACTAGCATTCTAAATGCCACTGAAAGAGGTGTTCACAAAAGGACAGGCCACACTGCTTACTTCAGATGATGTCAAATGATGTGGGGAGATGGAAGAGCCCTCCCACAGTGCCTGCCCCAGCTCTCTGCTGCTTGAGGTTTCAGCTACATCAAATGGGAGAGGGATTTGTGCAAACTCCTTGGGCTTGTGTGAAATAATGTGAGAAATTAAAGACCATCCCTCCACCCACAGATCCTCAAAGTTATGTTACGATATTAAGGCAATTTTAGGGTAAAATGCAGCTGCTATTTCCAGCATGGAATACAGTCGATATGCACAGAATCTACCCAGTGATAGTTGCCCAGGCAACCCTGCGACCTTGGCATATGCTGGAGAGGGGAGAGGAGGGAAGGCCCCGTGGCCAGGCTCTGCTATACTCCCTTGCAGGTGTGGGAATTGAAGACACCATGTACTGATAAACCACCTTGCAGCTAAACAACAAGGAAGCTATACTTCTATTGTAAAGCAAGAGAATTTCATACCAATCATTAACAAAGTATGTATAACTAGAGCCACTCCAGCTCCACAGGCACATACTCAAACTCCATAGCGATATAAGGTTAAAACACCATAGCCATATTTAGTTAAAGCTCCATAGGTATACAGTTGAGAAATTGAAACTTGTATCACTATGAAAAAGCCTGGACAGATATAAGGGTCTCTTAAAGGGTCAGGAGACCTGAAATAAGAATGGTTTATGATGAGAACTGATAGCCACAGAAGCTTTGGCCTTGTGTAGGTGGACTAAGAAAAACAGAACTGAGGAAAACAGGACTGAGAAAAACAAGACTAACAAACCTCTAATCAACAAAGACTGTCCTTGAAGTCTGCTACATCCTGGACAATTGTCAAAATGTGGTTTCAGGAGTCAGCAAAACATGACTAGGGCATCCTTTTGATGAACTATCCTCATTATACTCTCATTATAATACTAAAAATCACACCCACAGGTCAAAAGACCCCTGACCCCTGAGCATGTATAGTGAGGCGATTAGTTATGGAGCCTTACGCAAACTAGCTCATCAACTGGTAAATGGTGGAAGGACTACAGGAAGTTACTAATTTGAATTAAATCATACAAATATATGAAATTAAGAGGGGAAAAATTAGGGAAGACTCCATTGTAACTGGTGGGATCAGTCAGTGAGCTGAACCTGTCTTCTCCCCCCACAGGGTCACCTACTGGGTAAGAGCTATACTTGTGCATTTAATGACTGCTTTTTAACTGGCTTTATATACGTTATTTTCATGCTTATTCTCACAGTTAGTATGTTATACTGTCAATGCAATCTTCAAACCTTAAGCCCTCATAAAATTATAACAAAAATTCACATCTATTTTCTGTGTGTTTTCAGAAACTTAAAAATTGTCTTTAAAATTGACTTAAAAGTTTTAACTCAGTGGGTGAATCTGTTACTGTAAATCCCCACTAGGAATGTTGCATCACCCTCCAATATAGTATGCTGGCCAGTGGAGCACCTGCAGAGGGCTCTGACAGGTTAACCCAGCTCCAGGGTCTCATCTTTTCTGGGACAGTAACAAACCTGTCAAACTTACAGACGAAGAGGTGAAATTTTCCCCCTTATTGGAGTAAAGATCTCCTTAACATGACAGCTTGTCACACCTTGCTCTGTCCAGCCTTGCGTTATTCTGACATCAGTGGCATGGGGAGCGAACCTCATAACCCACACAGGGCTGCAGGGCAGTCCCTTCCATGCTGGTTTTCCACCTGGAGCTGGCTAGGAAAGAAGCCAAGGAAATTTGTGAACCAAGGAAAGATCAAGCGTGTAAGTCTGCTGCTGGGGTTCACCAGCAGCCCTCCCTGCCACAACTGTTTCACTCTTCTTGCTCAGATTAAGGAAGTCAGGAGAGCTTCCTGTGGACAACCACTACGGGATGAGTAGTGCATCTTCTTCCCACTTCATTTCCCTTGCTCCTTTGCAGCCTGCTCTTCAGCTATTGGTCTTTGCTGCTGGGTGTGCTGCGTCATGGCTGGTCCCTGGTCAACAAAGGCACAAAGGCGGAATTGAAGCCATGTAGAAGTGGTTTGCTTTGCATCATGAGCTGCAGCTCTTTTCGTTAACAAACACCCCTGTGTCCATGGACTGTCATTCCCTCCAACACCCTGTCAGATGCTGTCAGCTTACTATCGCTGCTCTGTGATGAGCCCAAACTCAAATGCTCAAAAACGAGCAGACAAAATCCCTCTTGCCTTGCTGCAAGAATGAAGTGTTAATGACAACCAGGCATGCTCAGCCTTCACAGGCTCCCCCTCATACAGGTGAGGTGTTTGGATCAGGCCTGAACAGCACAAAGGAGAAAAGACAGAGCTGAGAAAGCCATGATTTATTTCTTAATTTTCATCTCATTTTCTCCTTTACAGCTTTGGGAAGTACCAGGCATTTCTGGTCCTTTGCCCTCCCATCTTTTCCTCCGGCTTACAGTGGGGACAGAGATTGGAGTGTGAGGGTGCTGTTTATTAAATGACTAATAAATGACTAATAATTTATTAAACTTGGCTACAGCATCGATGGAAAAATAAATTCAATGCTGGTATGTGGGAACCAGCCCAAGTCAAATGGGAAAGCTTACTGTCAAGGAAAAAGAGGAGCAGCCTCCAATGCCTCAAAGACTTCATGGAATTATACCTAGAACTTTACCTGATCTGACTGCTGGAGAAGCAGAAGCTCCACTTTCTGCTGTATCCACATGCTGTGACATTGCTACTCCTCTCCTTGCACCTCTCCCAAAGTCAGCCCTGTCTGCCCACCTAACTCTGTTCCACCACCCTCAGCCCGGCTTTCTCCCCATGCTTTGCTCACCTTTCACACAAAAATGTGTGCTCATCCCTTCTCTGCTCATGTTCTCTCATCTCTCATTACTCCATCCTGCCCAGCAGCTTCCCGCTGTGCCCCAACAATCCATGCTCGAATATCCAGCTTTTAGGTCACTTCCTCTGTCACCTCATTTCCATAAAGGGAAAATTAACACAGCCAGAACCCTTTACTGCAGCCACTTGCAGGATTACCAGAGATGTGTTAAAATACCAAGGAAGTGTGAACCAGCCCTGTGTCACTGCTGGGAAACCCTTAAATCCATGGATCATGGGGCAACCCAGCACAGCACAGACGGTAAGACTTGGTTCATGTTTTCACTGTCATACCTCCAAGACAGAGCCAGGCAAGGTGGTTGAAGCCAGTGCAGATGAACTAAAATGAAACCAAATACACCAGAGACACCCAGCATGAAATCTTGTGTTGGCATAAATTGCTTATGCCACATCAGTTCTGCTTGGGAATCCTGCAGCAGTAACCAAGGGCTCGATCCTTCTATCACCACTGTGATCCCAGCTGCTTTCCCTGACACCTTGCCTCAAAAGCCCTCAGATGCCAATATTTATCACCAAGGAAGCTGCAGCCACATTTCATTCAATGGATGGTGATGTGGGGTGGGTTTTAAGGCTCTCAAGACAAGTAAGAACTATTGTCATACTGAAATCACAGACTGCACAGCCAGCCGGGTACCATCTCCATCATCCATGGGCCTCCCTGAACTCAGGAAAAACACCTGGAAACCAACCTGGACTTGGCATTTGCCAGTGTAAAATCACACACACCCCTCAGCAGAGTATTTTGCTCCCAGTGATCAATTACCTTCTTGCAAAAAAATGGCACTTTATCAGCAAATACATTACCCAGCTGCTTCCCCTTCATTTTAACTCATTATATCAGTATCTTCCAGCCTGCAGAGCCCTAAGTTGTCAAGTTTTAACTCCCTAGGTAGAAGCTCCTAAAGCAGGAGCATTTAGAATGTTCCTAAATGGAGTCACTTCTACCTCTTCTGTGATGACTGACACAGATCAGGCCTTTTGTTGCAGCAGGACAGTTTTTTGTCAATGTGCTCATATGTTTTTCATGCCCTTCCAGCAGCAGTTAACCAGTGTGCTGCCCTCCCAGACTTGCTGGCAGAGAGGAAACATAACAGACCCCAAATCGACTTGGGGCTGATGCAAGCCCTTAGCTACAGCAGGCTACACTGGCTGATGCACACTCATCAGCACGGCTGCATGCCCCAGGACAAATATACTTCCTATTGCTGCTGAAAAGCGCAAGAAAAAAACAACACTGACAGAACTTCTTGCACTTTGGACCCTGCACACAGGTTTCCTTTAGGAGATCCAGATAAACTCCCTGAAAAGCTCTCTGTTCCAGCCCTCCACTCTCAGATCCACATGAATCTCACCAACTGCTTGTCACCATCTGGCCAGCAAGTCTTTCCCAAACATGCCCAAATTGCTTGCAGCCAGCTTGTCCGAAGATGGAAGCTGTCCCAACAGCTGTATTTTCTGCAGATCTCTTCTCCTGAAGTAGATGATAAATTGGCTCTTCAGGGACACACAAAGCATCCTTGGGATCCCACTGAAGCATATGTGGATGACGGCGGCTCTCCAGTGTAAACCCACTACATGAAATTGTCACTTGTAGAAGACCAGCCCCACGTCCCATGCCTAACAACTGTTGACATATTCTGCTGACAACTGTGGAAATATTGCATAAGTCAAGCAATATTTAAGTCTTTTTTTTTTCTTCCTGTGTGAGCGTATGTGTTAGTTTGGCAAATACTATGGCTGCCCAGGAACAGCCTCACTTCCTTACCACATATTGCATTAGCTTGTGTATTTTTCACTATACGCTCCCTTTCCCTGCTCATCTTTGGAAAAGTGGCCAAACCCAGCCTTTTCTTAATCAGCAGACAAGCCAGGCTCATTATCACTACCCAGTTTTGCTGGAACAGAACTCAATCCAGCTCCTTTCCAATTTTCCCAAGCAAGTTCTTTGACCCAGTTGACTCGAATAAGGTCAAAAAAAGCTGCAGTTACCCAGTGTTTGGAGCTGGAACAGCACCAAGATGGTTCTCTGCTGCTTCAGGATGGGCCTACAATCATGAGATTGAAATATGAAATACCTGCTGGCCCTTCCCATCCACCCCTTCTACCCAGCAGCCTGCGGAGAAGCCAGGGGTTGCAACCTGCAACTGCGAGGCCCCTACAGCCATATCCCTGCATCATGTCCTGTGGTGGCCATGACCCTGCAGCTGCAGGAAGATGTTTCCACCTGCACAGGACACCCTGACATGCCTCCCAACCAGGCTGCAATGCCAGGACCCACAGCAGGTGCATGCACTGCTTCCAGCCAAAAACTAGTGTGGCAAAGACATTTACCCTGCATATAACCAGAAACACTGTTTCAAGCCGGAGCACTGCTAGGCTTTTGTGCCCAGGCAGGCACACTTTCCAACCAGCAGCATTTTAAGTACATTGCTGATTGCTGTGTAATCAGCCTGCAGTGCAAATCTGCTCCAGGGCAGCTCTGACACTGGAGGCACATCTGGCACAGCATGTCAGATGATAACGGAGCTCTTCTCTGCGCCACAGCCCCACTCCAGCCTCTGACCCACTGCACAGAGGTGCCAGATTTTTCAGTGCAAATCCAACATACAGGCCTGCAGCCAGGGGACAAGGACAGCTACAAGGATGGCTGTGGCGAGCTGTGGGAGCAGCATCTTGCAGCACAGAAATGCTTCTTAAGGACCAGCAGAGGTGGGAAACACACTGACATCAAAGCGTGTCCCAGCCTCTTGCCTAGACCTTGCTGTCTGGGTTTTTTGGCAGTGATGCTCTCACACTGCCCCATCTCCTGCCACTTCCTGGGGAGTTTCACTTTCATTTTCACTTCCAGGTCCACTTCCCAGCATCCGGAAGCCCTGCTGTGCCTCACCTCCTAGCCAAGGCTGCAGGAGGGACATGCTGCAGGAGGGACATGCTGCAGCCCTTCTCTGCCCGGACCAGGAGACAAGTGTGTTGATGCCCATGTGCAGCAGACAGCCCACAGCATCACCCACTGCCACTGCCCTAGTCTAGCACGTCCCTGGGGATAAGGGACTAGCCCCACAATGTCCCTGGAAAGCAGGTGGCACTGGGTGGACACTGCTGATCTCTCTCCAAGATGGATTAGGGATGTCACCTACCTGGGTGTCCTGAGCACTTGGGCTGACGTCCTCGTCCCTCCACCATGGCTGCTAGCAGAGCATCCCGCATCGAGGTCTCAGAGCCCTCTGGGTGTGGCCTGGTTGTTTGGCTGGAGAATCTGGGATGCCAAAAATGAAGCCGATGTGTGTGTGTCAGTCCGGTGGTGGGATGTCCGAGACCTGGGCCCAGATGTCTTATAGCGGGGGTCTCCAACCTGCCCGCCTTGCTGCTATGACCTCCGACCTCCTACAGCCACAGGGATGGCTGCCCGCAGGAAAAGGCGGTCTCTGGGCTACACTCGCACATCCCCCGCATCCCCAGAGGCCCAGCCTGCACTCACCGCGGCGGGGATGTCCTGACTCCCCCAGCAGCTCCAGGGACCCCCTCTGGGAAACCTCTCCGCTTCCTCCGGGCACCACGGAGCTTCCCCCCCCCCAGCGCTGCTGCAGCAACGCACCCCCCTCCGCCGGGAGGGCAGGAGGACCGCCAGACTGCGCCTCCGCCCGCCGCTCCGGGGTAGGCGGGGCGGGGGGGGGGGGGCGGGAGAGCGCGCAAAGGGGAGGCGGGCGGCGGCGGCAACCCAAAGAAAGAAGAGGCGAGGCGCGGGGGAGGCCGCGAATGACGGACGGGCTGCGGCAACCACTCAGCGCTGCGGATGGGCGCGGCGGGGGCGGGCCGGCGGGCAGCCAATGGGGAGCGCGCGCTGTCAGGAGCGAGCGCCTCAAATAATCGGGCTCAGCTGATTGTCCCCGGCTGAGAGTTGTTTGGCGGCGGGCGGGCGCGCGGCGCAGCCGGGAGGGCGGGCGGGCGGGCGAGCGAGAGCGGAGGAGGAGTTGGGGTTGGGGGCGGGGGGGGGGGGGGGCGCGCTCCCCTTTGTTGCATGGGGGTGTCCAGCCGGGGCTGAGGGGCGGGGCGGGCGCGCGCGGCGACCGTTGGCGGGCCGTTGCCTCTCCTCTGCCTCCCGCTGCCCCATGAGCGCGACGGCGGCGGCGGCCCTCGCCGAGGGGGCGGCCCTGGCTGAGGGGGCTGCCGTGCCCTACGCCGTGGAGCTGGGGCTGACCGTGCTCCACACGGCGCTCTACGCCGCCCTCTTCCTCTTCGCCTACCTGCAGCTCTGGCTGCTCCTCTACTACCGGGAGCGGCGGCTGAGCTACCACACGCTCTGCCTCTTCCTCTGCCTGCTCTGGGCAGCCCTCAGGACCACCCTCTTCTCATTCTACCTGCAGAACTCCCTGCAGGCCCTCCGCCTCCAGCAGCCTTTCGCCCACTGGCTTCTTTACTGCCTGCCCGGCTGCCTGCTCTTCTCCAGCCTCTGCCTCCTCAACCTCTATTTCGCTGAGGTAAGTTTTTCCCGTGGTGGGGGGCAGAGACACACCGAACCCCCACCCTGCAGGACGCTGGGGCTAAATCCCCCTCTTCAGCCACCCCCGTAAACTTGGAGGTGCACAGAAATGTGCCCTGAAGCCGAAGGGTGGGTTGGGGGGGGGGGGAGGGTTGGAGGTGTGCCCTGACCAGGCTAAGTGGGAGAGGTCTGCCCTCAATGTAAGCTTTAGGGCAGGATGGGGAGATGCAGGGTTGTGCCCTGGATCCAGGCTTGGGGGGAGGCACAAAGATTATGTCCTGAATTCAGGCTTGGGGGTGGGGTGGGATGGGGGGGTGAGCGAAAAGTGTGCCCTGAATCCTGGCGTCAGGGTGGTGTGGGGTGCAGGGTTGTGCTTTGAATGCAGGCCCTGTGGGGTGGCATGGAGGGGGCAGGTATGTGCTCTCACTCTGGGGTTGGGGGGTGCAGAGATGCGCTCTGCTCCCGGGTGGGGCTTTCCCCTTTGCACCCTTACAACGGGTGGCAGCGCCATGGGGGTCTCTTGAGGGATTGTTTTGCATCTTCTTTTAATTGATTCCCCTTCTCTAAAGAGGACCAGAAAGTGGCGGCAGCAGGGGCTGCTCTGGCCTGGAGTGATGCCAACCATTACGTCACCAGCTAGAGCCTCTTCTGCTATTGTTGCTGCGCTCCCTCCTTTTCTTCATCTCTCCGCTCCGCTGTGAACTGAGCTTGTTGCTCTGCAGCTTGTTGTCAGACAAAAACCCTGAGATCCCTCTGCCTCCCCAGACAACAGCCTGGGGCTGGAGAGGTGGGCCCCTTCCTAGTGCAGTTATTGCTACTGGGACGGTGCAGACCTGCTTGTTATTGTTGCTGAGCTGTATTCCTGTTTCTGGATTTCCCATCACTTGCTTTTCTGATTTTAATTTCTTTTATTCTCTGTTCTCTAGTCCTTTCACTTGTCTTTATCTTTTTAAAGCCTTAGCTCTCCCCTCCCCTTCCTCCTCTGAATATTTTGTTTCTGCTCCAGTTTCTCGTGAGCAGCCCTTTGCTTGCCTGTCTTCCAGTTTGGTGCCTTGTTTCATAAATTGGCTGTACTTTCCTTCCAGCTTTGTTGTTGTTGTTCAGATTCTTTGCTCTGCAGCTCTCAGCTGTTTGCCAGCCTCACAAAGGAATCGCTAGCACTCACTGAAATCACTCCATCGCTCCAGTGTGTCACTGATGGGAGTTATGATTTCATTTTCCTGAGGACATCAACATTCACATGATAATGTGTGACTTGAAGTGGTTGGGTTGTTGGGCTGTTTTTGTTTTTTCCCCTCTGACACACACACCTGGAAGCTGGGGTAAACTGCCTGTTGCAAAACCTTTGGTGCTAGATACGCTGCTGATCAAGTGGCAGCAAAATAACAAATGGTGCATAGTGTGCATAATCCATCTTGGCTGTTAAAGGCAGCCTGACCTACCAACCAGCAGGTGTTTGTCCCTTGGAAGAAGCTGAGGGAGGGATCCCAGGTTCTGGTACCACGAAGTGGCTGGATTTTGGTTTTCCTCAAAGTCACTGGACTTGACAACAGATTTACCTCTTTGCATGCTTGTTAAAAGGCTTCTTCAAAGAATGGCAAAGTAAATTCAGATAGGTTCTCAGCCTTCACTTCTTTCCATGGTATCTGTTTTTCAGTGGTCTCTGGCTAAATATACCCTATTTCTTTCTCCTTGAAAACCTAGAGCCAAGGGAAATCTTGTCTGAGTAAATAAGAGCCCAGAATCTAGAGTGGGGAGGGATAAAATGACTTAAGATGGGTACGCATGCTTAATTACAGAGAGGATCTGGCCCTTGGCTGTCACAAGCAGAGTGGGTGTCCAGTACTGTGTGGTGTGGTTGGGTGGTCTCCCAGTGGTGGCAGGTAGAGAAGCCTGCAGCTGCAGAGGTTTGGAGAAGGAGTGCAACTAGATGGACTGAAAGCCTTATGTGCTTTTCTGGTTTCCATTTTAACAAAAATTATGCTGAGTGGTGATATTTAGCCTCTGTTTGTGCAACAGACTGATAAAACTAGCCCATTCTAGGCAGAGGGGTGCTGGTAACTAACTGAGATGTGCCTGGCTTGGCTTTGTTCTGTTGCCTTGCTCTTGGAGCACAGGAGGAGTTGTGGTAAGAGGGCTTAGGGTGTAATTAAACAAGATTCCTCACAACCTGGAGGAGAGAAACTACAGTGGTACCACAATAGTTTAGCTGAAGTGGCTCAAGAGCTAGAGATGACTGGTGTGTTTACGAGTGTGACTTCAAGCAAAACCTGCTGTGGAGGGCCTGACCATTCCCAATGCTTAAGGGCTAGTTGGTAGCAACCTCTAGAAGGGTACTAGGCTTCTGCTGTTCTGGGAGTGGTGTCCTGCTCTGAGATGTCCTCAGATAAAAGCATAGGGCTGCTTCTGTGCTAAAGGCCTGGCTGATTGTCTTTGTACACAGTGCCTCCTTTGTGGAGATGCTGGATAAATGGCATCTGTATAAGCAGTGGAAGAAAATGTGGCCTGTGCTATGGTATTTGAACTAATCTTTCTTGACTTAGAGAACTCCTCAGGCTGTGTACAAGCTGGGGATGAAATGATGCTGGATAAGGGAAGGTCTCCAGAGAGCAACAAATACCTATGGAGAGTTAGCATTATTTTGTGTTCTGGGGTTGAAGTTCAAACTGAAGAAGCTGTGTGGTGTACCCCTTTCTGTGGGGTGAGGCTATGCTCTTCCTGTCCCCTCTTAGCCCTCGCGGTGCCTGAGGAAATGCAGAGGCCTGACAAAATGTGTGTAGGATGCTTATTTGGAGGTTGCAGGGTTTTTTTGCCACTGCCTGGAATTTTCACGTGGAAAAGGTAGAATGCCTTTTGCTTGTGAGTGTCTCCCTTTCTGCTTCAGCTGTTAGAGTAGATTTCCAGGAAATCTGGAGTTTCACAGTACATCAGGTCAGAATTACTCAGATCTGCTCCCCATCTTGCCTAAAACTGGCAGACCAATGGCTTAGACATCCAACCCAGGGTGTCTTCCTTGCTTCTGGAATAGCTCCTCTACTGCCAGCTAGTCATCGGCTTGAGTAATGCCACCTTTCCCAAGAGTCTGCCAATTTGTGCTTTGCCCCAGGTCATTGTCAGGAGCACAGTACATGGAAATGTAGCCAAAACAACCTCCATCTTGACCCTTCCAAAGACCTTCATGAGCACTTGGCATCCTTGTCTCACTTGGGAGTCAGCAACTGTGTGCAACAATGAGTAAGGCCTTCTGCGGGAGTGGTGAGGCTCTGCCAGACTGGTGTGGTCATAACCCTTAACCTGTCTGGGTTTCCTTAAGCGCTCCATCTGATTAGATGACATCAACCCCTTTCATCCCTTGCTGCTCTAATTGCACTGGAGCAGACATGCATGGAAAGAGCATCCATCCTGGGAGCTGTTTGTCCTTGCTGTCCTGTATCTTCCTGCTTTCTCAGATGGAACACTGGAAAAGCAGTCACCCATTCTTGCATTCTTCCACCTTCCTTGTCTAGCATACAGAAGTGCACCTAGCATGTGTACTCTGCCTCAGAGGGGTCACTTAAACTCAAAATTGCTCTATCCCATAGCTGATGATTCCCATGCGCCCTGCAGTTCCTGAATGAATAGGTGGCCATGCCAGCAACCAGCTATCCCAGGAAATCATGGTAAATGCAAGTTGTACCCTTGTTGTGTTTGTGATGGAATAGGATGAACTCAGTGGGGATGGTGAGGGATCATCCTTACACATAGTCCCAGCTTTGTGTCTGAGTTGTGGCTGGGGGCTT